TCAAGGACAAGGGCAATGGCCAATAGGCTATATTGTTTTGATGATCACTTGAATTCCCCTGACCAACTCAAAGGAATATTTCTCATGTCTGGTACTGCAGTTTTTGTTAGACTATGACTCTTGAGGGGTGCATTACCATCCTTAGTGACACAGTATTAAAAAAAAAAAGACTTAAAAAACTGAAATAAACCCTTTCCCTATTCCCCCTCAAAATAAGACTTACAAAATTCTTTTCAGATACAACTCTTAAATTACAATAAATATTGTAAGTGTGGTGGTCCCCAGTTGGTAAGACTGTTTGGGAAGGATTAGGAGGTGGCCTTGTTGGGGGTTATGTGTCACTGGGGGCAGATGAGTTTGAGGTCAAAAGACTCAGTGCCATTCCGTGTGCCTCCCTCTCTCTCTCTCTCTCTCTCTCTCTCTCTCTCCCTCCCTCCCTCCCTCCCTCCCTCCCTCCCTCCCTCCCTCCCTCCCTCCCTCCCTCTCTCTCTCTCTCTCTCTCTCTCTCTCTCTCTCTCTCTCTCTCTCTCTCTGTCTCTCTCTCCTCTCTCGTAGATCAAGATGTGAGCTCTTAGTCATTCTTGGTACAATGCCTTGCCTTTGCTCCATCACTGACTCTTTTTGTTACTTTTCTGTTACTAAGATAAAATACCATGACCAAGGCAACTGTTTGGGAAGGATGAGGAGATATGGCCTTGGTGAAGGGGACAGGCTTTGAGCTCTCAAAAAGACTGCTGCTGGGTAGTGATGGTGCAAGCCTTAATCCCAGCATTGGGGAGGCAGAGGTAGGCAAATCTCTGTGAGTTTGAGACCAGCCTGGCCTACAGAACTAGTTCCAGGACAGTTAGGACTTCTCAACAGAGAAACTCTGTCTCAAAAACAAAAAAACAAACACACAAAAAAGATTATGCTGTTCCCTGTCAGCCCTCTCCACTCCTGCTGTGAACCAAGAAGTAAACTCTCAGCTACTGCTCCTTCTGCTGCTATGCTCCCTGCATGACAGTCTCACCCTTTGAAACTGTGAGCCGATTAAATACACTTTCTGATAAGTCTTTGGTCATGGTGTTTTGTCATGGAAATAGAAAAGTAACTAGTACAGTAAGAAAGATTTGTGTCATTCAGTGCCCATTCATTTCAAATGATTGCTAATCTTCCACAACACTAACCTGTGATGAATATACCTTATTAAAAAGGGGACTGTGGTGGTTTGGCTAGGAATGCCTCCCCCCATACATATGTGTCTGAATGCTTGGCCATAGGGGATGGCATTGTTAGAATGTGTGACCTTGTTGGAGGAAGTATGTCACCATAGAGCCAGGCTTTGAGGGCTCATATGTTCAAGCTGTGCCCAGTATGGCACATAGTCTCTTTCTGCTGCCTGCAGATCAAATGTAGAACTCTCAGCTCCTTCTCCAGTACCATGTCTACCTGCACACCGCCATGCTTCTGGCCATGCCAACAATGGTCTAAGTCTCTGAAACTGTAAGCCAGCCCCAATTAAATGTTTTCTTTTATGAGAGTTGCCATGGTCATAGTGTCTCTTCACAGCTATAAAACCTAAACTAAGACAACTTTATACTTCCCCCATTCATTTTCTTTTTTCCTCAGGTTAGTCAGCAGAAAGAAGTAAAAATTCAGTACCATTAAATATGTACTAGCTTTATCAACCTAACCTAAGATTGAAGCTTGGCAGATTTATATTCTGGCTAATCCAGTTGGTAATCCAATATTCTGAATTCCTTTGGCAAGTTCAATCTGCTCCAGATTTGTTTAGAGTACAAATTTAAAATATATATGCATACTTACACGGATACTATTCATGTCTGACAACTAAAATAATATATGTAGTCTATTTGTACGTTTAAAAACCAAGGCTGAGCCAGGGGTTGGTGGCACACACCTTTAATCCCATTACTCGGGAGGCAGAGGCAGGCAGATCTCTGAGTTCCAGGACAGGCACCAAAACAATACAGAGAAACCCCGTCTGGAAACAAAAAACAAAACAAAACAAACAAAAAAAAACCAAACAACAACAACAACAAAAAAAACAAACCCCCAAAACAAAAACCAGGGGAGGATCTAGGGCCTGCCCTGGATGAAATGACAGACTATGGACACCCCCATGGAGGGCCTCACCCTCTCTGGGGAAATGATGGGATAATGGGGGGGTGAGGGTTAGGGGGAGGAGGGGAGGGAAAGGGAGAGGGACCTGGGACTGACTTGTGAAGCAACCTTGTTTATAATCTAAATTTAAACTTAAAAATAAATAGTAAAAAAAAAACCAAGGCTGGTAGCACAGCTTGGTGGGTAAAGTTACAGAAACAAAACAAACCCTGCTTCAGTGAGCTGGTAGGAGGTAACTACCTCCTGAAAAGCTGACCTCTGATCTCCACGTGCTATGGCACACACATGCAGACACATACACACATCATTTTTAATATATGATTTAAGATAGGGATCTATCTAAATCATCAATATATTGAAAACGGTTCACTAACTCCTGATTATTAAAGGTACTTTAATTTTGTAAGCACATATCACCAGTCTAAACCGTTTGGGAATCTGTTCAGAAGACCTGGTTTCTCTGTACACACACACACATACACACACACACACACACACACACACACACACACACACACACCCACACACACACACACTGATCTAGAGATGACCTCCAGAGGGCGCTCACACACCACCCACACACACACACACACACACACACACATACATATACACACACATTGATCTAGAGATGACCTCCAGAGGGTGCTCACACACACACCCACATACACACACACACACACACACACACATACACACACACTGATCTAGAGATGACCTCCAGGGGGCGCTCACATAACACACACACACACACACACACTGATCTAGAGATGACCTCCAGAGGGTGCTGTTGCACTCGGCAATGCTGCTTGGCTGGTGCTTCAGCCCTTTCTTCCCATCTCAGTCCAGGGACCACACCAGGGACCAGGGAGGTATGGCAGGTAAGTACAACAGGGAAGAGAGAATACTTGGCAAAATCACCCCTTCACCCCACCTCACAGCCACTTTCTCAGGAAGCATTCATGCTTGCTTCTTCCCTGAGGCCCCCGTCTGGTACCTTACCACCCATGCACCACTCAGGTTTCAGTAGAAGATACCAAGATAATTACGAGAAATTTCCCTATGAAACTCAGGCCAGTCTGGCTTCAATTCTGAGACTGAGTCCCCATTGCCTGGCAGAGCAGGGAGAACTCATTCTCCCATCTCACCACCAGGGTACCCCAGGGAGAAGTCATATATGTTTTCAGAGGACAGAGGTAGTGATTTGGTTACTTCCTACCTTACACACACACACACACACACCAGGCCCTCACCTCACCTCAGCTCACCCCTCCCCCATGGCTCTTTGGGACAAACCAAAGGAATTAACACATCCACTTACTGCAGCATTTACAAAAGTCAGTGTGACTGTCTCATTCACATGTAGTAAGCTTTTAGAATGTGCTTATTGGAGAGCTGAGAGAAATACACAGATGCCATTGATGTAACCAGAGAACCCTTCATACGTTCTCTGAAATCTGCTATCCAACCCAAACTTGCAAACTGTGGAGTTTACCCCTTCCCCCTTTTTTATACATAATTGTAAGTACTAGGACTAGAGCCTTTATCTGTAGGAATTTAAAAAGTTCCTTTAAGAAAGTTCCCTCAGTTGTCACTCAAAAAGATCCATCTGAAGTATAGAGGGTTTTTTTTTAATGAATTTCAAGTAGAAAGAAATCATTTTAGTTTGCCTTAAATGTTTTCTTCTTCCTCAACTTATATCCAAGAGAGTTTTCTTCAAAATCCTAGTGCTGAGAAGACATGGTGCTGGAAGCCTTAGCCCCAGCACTCTGGAGGCAGATCAAGGAGTTCAGGATCAGCCTGGTCGACATAGTGAATTCCAGGCTATGACAGGCTACATAGTGAGACTCTGTCTTAAAGTGTGTGTGTGTGTGTATTACATATTAAAAAATAAATTTACTTCTATCTTTACACTTCAAAAAATATTAAAATAGTAATGTCTGTTTTCCTGTTTCAGTATACTTACTACAGAGACACACATCTATACATTCATTCATATAAATCTCCAATAATAAGCCTGTGCATTGCAGCAGACCTCCAGCTCAATATATATGGTTATAGTTATTTCCCTTTCTGATGTTTTTTTTAAATCGTCTATTTATTTATTTACTTACTTATTTATATGCATTGGTGTTTTGCATGTGTGTCTGTGTGAGGGAGTCAGATCCCCAGGAACTCAAGTTAGAGACAGTTGTGAGCCACCATGTGGATGCTGAGAATTGAATTTAGATCCTCTGGAAGAACAGCCAGTGCTCTTAACTGCTGAGCCATCTCTCCAGCCCTGTTTTCTGGAAGCACATTAAATTCTAGGATTTTCTGGATGCGTCACAGTAGGAGCTCCTGAAGAAAGCAACTGATCATAATTTAACATTCTAGTTTATACTCTAAGATGAGTGCTTCCTAGGCTCAAAAGCACAACTAGAAATTTTAACAAAAGCCCCAGGAATTCCCCCAGGGAAGCTGGTGCCAGAAATACCAACATTAACTGGCAGAAATCATTAGTTTACAACCTGTTTTTGTGGAAATGTACATTTTGATAATTTTGATATGAAATCAATACTATCAAGGAACTAGAAGCCTCAGTGGTACACATTATATAAATTTGGCAGTCAGATAGTAACATTCTTAATTCAGGCATGGTAAACCTTTAAACCTTAATATATGTATATGAAATGGGCCTCAAAAATTATATTGCTCCAAAATACAATGATGTAAGGTTTTTTTCACTCAGAAAATTTCTCAGTTGCTAGGTCTAAGTAAGTTTGAAATGAATATTTGTAGAAATGACGGCAAGTATACAACATTTGAAGAGTGACAGATTTAAACAGTGTAATTTTGCCCTGAAGGTACAAGGTATTGCAACAGGAACACAAACATGCCATATATTACTCTTTAATTAAAGTTTTGTTTTACAATATGTTCTTGTCAGTGGGATATTTCCAGATGTTTAAGTGTGACTGAAAGCGTCTTCAAACAACGTACCATTGGAAGAAAAAGTCCTGTCCTTCATATGGTATGAGATGGAACATACACCACCCAAACCTCCAATACCATCCTGGGGCGTGCTTTCCATGTGAGTCTACTGTGCTTAGTTGGGCTGGTGCCTGTCTGTCATGTAAGGTGAAGCTCACCACAGAGATCAAATCAGAATGAGGGCAGAACATTATCATTTGGGAGCTAATCCTAGATCCAACATTCTAGAAGGTCTACACGGTGAAGCAGAATCCGGTGTGGGGAGAGTGGGAGAGGGGGGTCAGCCAAAGGTACCAGCTTGTCCTCCACTTCTAACAAAGCAAGGACAACACTCTCCCCTTCAGACCTGATCTGGTTCTGACCAGCCAGATAGAGGAGGACCAAGTGCCTAGAAGTGATCCCAGGGTGAGGACAGGATTAAGGTGCTAAATTCAAGTACTCCCTGAATACTACAGCCATTTCTGGTGGCCCCATAAGTTTGGGATGTGGTTGCGGGAAAGGAACCACTCCTTAACTGTTTCCTTCTTTCAACCTAAAGAAAACCAAGCCTTTTAATGATAATGCAAACCTGAACTTGGTTGTAGGGGGAAAAAGTACAGGGAACCCCAAATAAAGGAAGTACATCACTGACAATGGCAGACCTTGAATTCCCTGTGCATAGCCCCCTGGGGTCTACCCCCAAGCTCAGAGACCTCACTCTCCACCTCAGCTCTCAGTGTGATTATACATAATACTGCGTTTCTGTAACGACCAAGCTGTCCTGCGTGACCACGACAGGCACTTACTCTTGTCCTAGTCATCTTACATACTCGTAGCCCTTTTCTCTGAAATAGTGTCCACTGTTGTTGTTTAAAATATAAAGCCACATATATTAAACTCATTTTTAACAAAAAAGTGCTTAAAACCATCCTATGCAACTGCTTTCTTCATTTTCAACCAATAAAATCAAACTCGTTTATGCTTATTAATAATACTGAAAACACAGTGAATCTGATTCTTTGATGTTTTTAAATAATGTGCCTTTATCCCCAAATTCACATTAACTGACTCAGCATCATAACAAATTGAGCTCTTATTTGGAAAATATAGAAGGTACAAATATATATAACTTTTAGGCTAAAAAACATTCTGAATATAAAAATGCTTTCTATATTTCAAAATAACACCTTTAGATTTTCTTTAGTTTTGGATTTGGTGAATGAACCACTTAGTTCCCCATGGGTTTTGTTCTTAAACAAAAGCTAATAATGGTTTTAAATACAGTTACTCAAGAACCACTCAGTCTGTGGCTCACCCCACATAAAAGTTCAGCTTCTAGCTAAAAAAAAAAAAAAACAACAAAACAAAAAAACCCTATTTACTCATAAAATTACATTATCAAAAACTAGCTTAAAATAGAAATCTGTGTGCCTTAATGATTGCCAGAACTGCCCAGCGCAGCTTCAGTAAGACAGAGAACCATCTAGAAAATACAGACTCCGAAATGTGTGCAAGTGCTGCAAACTGGGCAGGTGAGGTCAGGGCACCACGCCGGTCTTCCTCAGCCTGCCCAGGTCCACATCCCTCCTCAGCCTTGTGCTTAGGGTGTTTCGTCAGCTCTTCACACCACACCCCTGCTCTGGATCTCCACAGGGGACTGCTGGGGACAAAACACGAGCCGCACAAGCACTTCTTTCTTTCTCTTTTTTCTTTCTGTCTTTCTTTCCTTCTTTCTTTCTGTCTGTCTTTCTTTCTTTCTTTTTTCTTTAAGCTGTAAACACTTCACATGATTGGGTCCCCATAGAAGGATGTGGGAGCTTAAATGAGCCTGGAGCTTTTGAGGAACTGGATGAGAACTCTGTACACGAACGTATACTGGCCAAGCGTCTGCACCAGCATCATTCTCTGTTGTCTTAGCATGTCCAGCACTCTGGGGATGTCCAGCACCTAGTGAGAGAAACAGTGATGAAGAGAACATTCCAGAGGGGGAAAAACACTGCAAAGGCTGTCACCCTCACAGAGATTCTCCTAAGAGACAGACAGGCAGCCCTTGTCTACCTGAGCATCTTCTGTGATAACCTAAGATCTGATTTGGGTTAGCTACAAACCAAATGTCCATGTGGATTTTTTCTTCAACGTGCCCTGGCTGCAGCATACTGACTTGTAAATCAGTTACATGTCAATCATCTCACACGGTCTCAGATTCAACAAACACAGTGTGCTAGGCGCTGCCAGGATCTAAGTCAACATTTCCCACCCAGGCCACTGGTCAGCACTAATCACTAGATGTGTTAAATGTTAATGGTATTACAGGAAACACTAGGTAAAACGCATTTAACAGCCTTTCATGTTATGTGACATCTCACTCTTTACTATGACAGTCAGAGCCAAGAACCTCTAGGACAGAGCCTTTTACAGACAACACTTAACATCTATCTTGTGGCCACTATAGTCCTAGGACACGTGTTCAGAAAGACACTGAGGCCCTATGCCCCTCTCCTCACCTTCCCAGCTATTAATTCTCCTCACCAAGAACAGAGAGCTTAACATAGGTCATCACCTCGTTGTGCTCCAGACAGGCAATCATGATCTCTGACAAAATGACGACACCAGTCCTTCCCACGCCAGCACTGCAATGTACCAGCAATGGAGGGTTGGGGCTTTGGGGTTCACTGGTACTGTTTGTATGACGCCGGACAGACTGGATCTCTTCAAGGTATGCTGTGAAAACATCCGTAAAACACAAAAGTACTGAGACAACAGCTATAAAGCCAAAAACCATCTCTTAATTTTCCCCACCGAGAAGACTGCAGATAAGGAACACTGGGTACCAAGGGACCAGAGCCAACTCTGGTGACTGCAGGCAAGTGGTGTCTCAGCCCAAACTAGATGGAGGAGGCGTGTGAGTCAGCCGTGACATTCTACTCATGACTGACTAGGCTGGCAAAATGGCAATGTGCGTAAGGGCACTCACCAAGACTGATGACCTGAGTTCAATCCCCAGGAGGAACATGGTGGGAAGAGAGAACAAACTCTAACCTCCACACGCGATGTGGCACATGGACACACACACACACACACACACACACACACACACACACACACACACACACACCTATAAACTCATCTTGTGTTAAGGCCCCTCAGTTTAAAACAAGTCCAAAGGTCTGGGACATCAGAGAGGGACTATTTTAGAAACGTAAGACAAAGAAAGCTGCCTATAAACAGATACTTACATAAAAATCCCTTGAGGTCTTCAGGACAGCCATGCTCGGGCCAGTCTGTATACTGGAGATGCCAAACTGTCCTCTCCTGCCCTGTGAGCAGGTGCTTCATCTTCAAGCCTGTAGTGGCATAGCAGCCCGAGTCCGTGCGGAAGCGAGTTGTGATCTTAAACCTTCCATAGGTGACGGTGTTGTGCCTTGAACCAAGCCTTGGCCAATACCTGAAGCTCTTCTCCCTGCCACCCTCCTGTTAAAGGCAGGCATAATTAATTCAGTAGCAGTACAAGAGCCAGCCAGGGCCGTTCTTCACTCAAGCCTTCATGCAGGCCACCATCTCACCCTGCTTTTCTAGAAAGGTCAACACTCCGGGTGGCTAACATTAACAGTTCTTTGGAGTCTCGGGGGAAAAAAATCAACTGAGAGGAATGAGCACTTACCTCTTCCGCTGTCACCATTGCTATGATTGAGATTCCCTGTTCCCACACCATCTGCCAAAAGTCCTGGCAGGTATTTTGTAATGGCCCCTGTGTGGCAATATAATCCCATTCAATTCCACTGACAGAGACCTACAATAGAGAAGGTTAAAAGCTTAGTGTGTTCATGGCATATACATGCATAGCTGTTGGTGTGTTCATGGTAACACTGGGCTATTCAGCAAAAGAAGGACAACTGACATCTTTTTAAATATATGTACCATGAGTTTGTATGGCATCCATGTGACTTGGCACAATCTGCTCACCACCAATACTTCAGTTTTTATCTACAAAATAAAATAATTGCCCAACCCATAGGGTTGTGAGGACAGCCAATATATACAATGTCTGGCACGTAACAAGTACTAAGTAAATGTCTCCTCCTTCTGTGATGCTAACACCAACATCACAGCATCCCAAATCACAAACAATTTGCCATGATGAAATATTAAATAAGCTTGGAGAACTATTGGCAAGTAAATCAAAGACTATGCTAATGCCAGATTTCCCTGAGAAAAGAACTATCTTCCATTGAGAATGGTCTCCATTCTGAACCGTGTCAAGATCTCGCTCCATAAGGCCACGTTTTCATTCAATGCCCTCCAGCGCTAACATAACAAGGAGTCACTGGCTCTACAGGCAAGAAACCGGGGCTAAACTATGTTCTACCAGTAACTGCTGACAACCATTTCTTCCTGAGTGCCCATTAAATCTTTGAGCCTGTGCCAAGTCCTGTTCCACATACCCTCCCTCCAAGGCTACCAGGCCTCAGCACCAATTCTGAGCCGTCTCACTGGGCTCCCTGTCAGCAGCAGCATGTGGCTGGCCACAGGTTATCATATCAGTTGGGTAAATAAGTGGAGGTCCCACAACTGGTGAGAGATCTAGGAGTTGACCCAATCTGCCCAATTCTGACATTCATATCCTTTCCATGACTCCTCAAGTTGTAGTTGAAGATTCTGAAACACCACTACAAAAAAATCACAATGCCATTCCATTTTTACCCATCCAGTCATAAGAGACAGGATGAGTTACTGCAAAGATATGTTTGGTTTCTAAACACATGATACCCATATAAAAAGCAAGGCAGTACATGCATTGATTCCCCAAAACCATTAAACATGCCTTTAATCCCAGCACCTGGGAGGCAGAGGCTACTCTGTATGATATTGAGGCCACCTTTGCTATATAAACAGCCAAGGAGATGTAGTGAGACCCTGTGTCCAAAACCAAAACTAACTAACTAAATAACAAAAGCCATTAAGCAAACGCATGGTTGCCAAGTCTTCGCAAATCCTTGGAGGTCAGATCGCTATCAAATAAGGCTTGCAAGCTGAAGAAACTGGGAAAGAAAAGTGCACACCCGACTACAGGCACAACTCAGTCCCGTAAGGGGCGTTCTCCTTTCTGCAGTAGAGAATCCCCGTTAGCTGGCACGAGAGGGGTGCTCTGTGCTGCCGCCTCCCACTGTGGCAAGCGTGACATCATCACCCAGTTCAACAGCATCAGACTGTTCTGGGGAGTGCTTCTTTAAAGAACAGAGTGACACTAGACATCCCAAGGAAGACACGACAGGTGGCGTCCTCCTAAGCAAAAGCTTCTGTGAGCATCCTCCAAAGTCCCTGCTCCAGCGTTTGCTGAGCCCCATGACCTGCGCTTGATTGCCATCGCTGGGGAAAGGGAGCACACGAAAAGGAAACTAGGCACATTCATTACATACGAGGCACACAGCATGTGACGGGGGAAAGCCAGTGATTCAGATTCAGCTCCTGTGAGAATTGACAAGCCCCCAAAGAGTCTTCAGATTCAGGACAAGGTTCTACTGGCAGACAAATGGAATGCCCCAAATCCTGGCAACAGTATGGATGCAGAGCAGCTCCCACACGGAGAGTGGATGTGTCTAGATTCTCCAGCCTATAGCATAATTGTCACAATTGACTCCAAGCAGGATGCTTTCACAATATAGACCCCAGCATAAATCTTAGCATCCTACAAGTCAGCCCGGGGCCCCTGTGCTGGTGATGCAGCCCGGGATGCTCCTCTCACCTTAATATGTGACGCGTTGATGTAGCCAGTGTTGTTCTCCTTGGTTGGTACCAACTCTACTCTCGCATCATCATAGGGAAGCACGTCTTGGAATCGATTTCTTTCTGCATTTTCAGGGAGCCTGGCTGTTGAGCACTCCCCATCAACTAGCCGTTTTTTAAGAATCCTTTCATATTCGGTGAAGACCATTCCTTGCTCTAAGCGCTGTTCCAGAATCTTACACTATAAAACAGGACCCGTGTGATGAGTAAACGTCACTTAGCATAGCTGAGTGTACTTATGAAATCTTGTCTTCTGCTTCAAGGTCTATCGTTTTCAAATATGAAAGATTCTACATGAAACTCAACCAAAATGTTTACAAGTCACGAAAATTAGAACAAAAAGACAGAATGTTGTTGGCAAGATGTAGAATGCAAAATTCAGTTTGAAGCTGAAAGTGAGCCTAAGGCAGTTTGTCAAGCTTGAGTTCTAAACCTATGGTCAGCTTTGTGATCTCTAAGAAATAGAATTTTCCTAGCACAGGAAAATCAAATGCTCTTTACAACAGATGTATATAAGATACTGAGAGCTGGGCGTTGGTGATGCATGCCTTTAATCCCAGCACTCGAGAGGCAGAGGCAGGCGGATCTCTGTGAGTTCGAGACCAAGCCTGGTCTACCAAGCGAGTTCCAGGACAGGCTCCTAAACAATACAGAGAAACCCTGTCTCGAAAAACAAAACAAAACAAAACAAACAAAAAAGATACTGAGAGCAGCAGTAAGTCCGGAGAGGCACCTTCAGATGCAGGTACAAAGAAATGCACACCTGTCTCATTTTAAAACAATAAAATCTCAATTCAGTATTTATTTCATTTTAATTTAAAAAGATGAATGTCCAATATAACAAAATGTCTGCTCTCTTTTCTATATATCCATTTACACATGTTCTTACTCTGAAGAAATAAAACAATCAAGAACTTTCACAACATTGGAGCCTGAAATGACTTAATACATTGTTTGCTCCAGCTGTGACCCGGATAGTAAGATTCCCTAACATCCATTTATGACTATTAAATTAGGTCAGAAAATGCACCAACATTTCATGGGGGAACTTTGGAGTTGCCTCCGAGAAAGCAGAGAGCTCGGGCACACTCACCCTCTCATCATTCGTTGCCCTGGTGGGCACTTCCTTCCCTTCATCAGGCAGAGGCAGTCGGGACAGGGAGAGTCCATTGAGGGCAGCCAGCTTAAGGGGACCGATCTTTTTTGCATCTGCTCGAGTCTTCTTCATTCCCTGTAAGAAAATATTTAGACACATATAGAGACCCTTCCAGAGGCAATGTCAACGGAGCTAAAGAGGAAGCAAGCTCTGCCTGCTAGCACCCAAGGAGAGTGACTCCTTCCCACACGTCTGCTTAACAGGCTTCAGGAAGAAGACATTCCTTTCAAGGCCGGAGCTCTGATAAGGCCTCCAGATAGAAGGCTTTCACTCCAATTGGTTACAAGACTCTGTTGCAATGAAAGGTGAGGCTGGAGGCAGGCAACATTCTCACAGAACTACCCAACTTCAAAATGTGACACCACACAAAACAGAAAAACAAGTTATCAGTGGCTCGGCACAGCCTTTTCTCTTTTCTTATTTTGAGGCAGGGTCTCACTATGTAGCCTTAGCTGGCCTGGAACTCCCTATACATACCAGGCTGGTCTCAAACTCACAGCTAGCTATTCATCCCCTGGTCTCTGCCTCCTGAGTGCTGAGATAAAATGCATGCACCACCATGCCTGGCAGCCTTTACTATTTTTTAAACAAACAAAAACTTAGATCATTCTGGAAGGAAGGAAAGAAGGTAGAGAGGGAGGGAGGGAGGGAGGCAGGGAGGGAGGGAGGGAGGGAGGGAGGGAAAGAAGGAAAGAAATGTGAATTGCTTTCAATACATATTCCACTCTACAGTCTTGAAGAACAGTGTGACCTGGGCTGTCCCAAAATGGCCACCTTTCTAAATCATGAAATAAACACAGCTGAAGACTCTAGAGAAAGCCAGAGTGGAAGGGAAGCATCAATGGAACACTGTCCTATGAAAAGTTCTCAAGCCTGGTGACTTTCCTCTCTCCAGGACGTAAACCTGAGAACATGTCTCCTCAGTCATTCTGTAGAGTTACAAAGAGTCCCAGGACTCAAAGAAATGGTTTCCCAGGTTCTTATAAGGAAACCAGCCCTTTCCACCTTTATCAGCCTAAAAATGCCATGACACCAAGATTGAAACCACAGAGCAGGAACAAAGAGCAGACATTTTGGTGAGGAAGAAAATGCTATACTATAACTGAAGAATATGTGTGACGCGGACATATATGTGGAGACCAGAACATGGCATTGGGTGTCTCCTCTACCATTCCATCCCTATGAGACAGTCTTTCCCTCTGAACCCAGTCTGACTGCCGGAGATCTACTGGGTTCTACCCATCTCCACCACAGTGCTGGCGTTAAGGCACCCACAGCCATGACTAGTTCCCACATGGGTGCTGGGGATTTGAACTCTGCTCCCCTTGATTGCACAGCAAGCAGTCTTACCCCATGAGCCATCTGTCCAGCCCATAGACTATTTTTTAACTTCAGAGTTCATATTGCTTGAGCTTCCCACATAATGCAAATCAGACTTAGAATGGGGAGAATCCTGGGTTAAAACCCGGTCTGTAATTAACTAACATCCTTCAGATAAGTCACTTTTGCCCTCTAAACCTCACCTACACAGAAAAACAGAAAGGGAGCACACGGGGACAGCTCAACATAGACTGACCCAGAGACTCAAATGTCCTGAATCTAGTCTGCAGGAAACAGTGGTGTGCTGCCGTGTTTGACAACCGGCCCTCAAAGGTTCTACCTTCCCTGGCCGTTTCCACAGTGCAGACACTGTCACAGCCACTTCCCGACTGCCTAAGGATGTCATCTGACTCACACCATTCCTAAAACCTCATCGATCGATCGGTTAGCCAGTGCTGGCTGACTCAGTGACCTCTGCCTGAAATCCAAACGCCCCCCCACTGACAAGCCAGATGAAGGTGACTCCAGGCAGGGGCAATATTCCTTACCAGGCCCATGGCTTTCCAATCTGCAGGGCTTCTTGGATGAGAACCACACTGTACAGGCCTAAAGCATGCATCGAAGAGAGAATCTTTACGTGGATGTGGGAGCACCCAAACCAGTCTGCCTTGGAGATAACAATCTAGTTCCTGGAGGTGGAGGCCATGGGCGGGGAATTCTAAATGGGTCCTTGCTGTCTGCTATTTACTCGATGTTTTTTTGTTTTGTTTTTTAACTTTAGCTCGATTTAGTGTTGTCTGCTGACAGTGACAGGATCATGTTATGTCACCTTGAAGGGGTCAGAGGCGGTAGCAGGGGGTTAGCCTTCTCAGTTTGTGGGAAGTTGGGAAACTAAACTTGTGATGCAACATCACAGCCACAAGTAAATATTGACGGAGCACTTTTGATGTTTTGAAGGGTTATTTTAGTCCCCCAGGAACTCTGAGGTCATCTCATTTACAAATGAGAAAACTGGATCATGGAGGGACTAAACAGTTTGTTCAAGGTCACTGGCGGCCACTTTTATAAAGGAATCAGTGTCAAACAATAAGAAAATCTCTCATTAAAACCGGTTACATGGAAGCATTTACTGAAGAAGGTAGATTTCCACGCCTAACAGCAGCGAGACCTCGATGGACGGAGAGGAAATGGCTGTCCTGGTTCTGGAGATGGAAGCTGGAGTTCAGCTGCCCACTGACGAACTACAATGCACAGCAGGGCCTACACTCAGACCAGGCAGTTCACGGCTAGGACCTGCATGTTTCCTCTTGCCCACAGCCTCCATGCAGCCCTCAGGTAAAATCCCTGTGCAAAAAGGAAGCAGCTAAAAGACAGTGCAATTGTTACAACTTCACTAAAAAAGTCTCCAACGATAATGAGAAAGAAGATTTGTGTTTTAAGAGAAGCAACTAGATCAAAGCCCTCAGTGTAAGCGGAACTTGCTAAACTTCTCTCACCTTGGTTTGTTGATCAGTGACAGAGGATGACGGCTAACTATGTACCCTGCAGAGGTCAGAGGTTTTGGAGGGGTTTGGGCTCTTCAGCTCTCGGCAGGTCAGAGAATGTTCTTAATGCAAGTGTCATTTGGAGTACTTGTGCTCCACGTAAAAACGGTGGGCAGTCCTTACTGCATTGTCATGGAAAGCCCCAACAAGCTGGCTTGGGAACTCAGGCAGTGACTGTGGAAATCCCCACACTATCTCTGCCCTAACACTGCTCAGCCTGTACCCTCTACCATGGTTCACTTGAGCACTGGCCTTTGTACATTCAGGAAAAAATAAAGCTGAACTTCAAATTCTACCCTTTAGCTAAGTGAACACCCACCCTTAAGTCTGTGCTCTTCCTTAGGCTGTTTCCTGCCCGGCGGCCTGAGTCACTTTGAGACCCTCACACACAAGGCCAGAAGGACGCTTGCAGTAGCTCCTCAATCTCTGGGTCGTCCTAACAGAGATGGGCGAGGAGAACCTTGGCTGACACAGGGGTCAAATAAACGCACGCATCCCTTTGACGTGGTTCCAGTGCAGACCAGGGACTAGGAGGTGAAGGCCACACAGAGGTGCATCCCTGAGCAACGCGGCATGGTGACTACGAGCAGATGCACTTCCCCACGGGACCAGAAATGCTTAGTCAAAGGCTGACAGTTCAAAACTCACTCAGCACAGGGTAGCCAGGCTGTGGCAGATGATTACTACTCAGTAAAATACTATATAGAGTATCCCCGGACACAGAACACGGTGGAGCAGAGCGGGCTGGAATAGACAAGATAAGCTGAAGATTCCAGACCAGCTGCTCACGAGCTGCATGACCTTGGGAAAGCTACTTAATATTTCCGAGTCAGCTTCTTCATCTGTGAAACAGACTAATCACAATGGCTCATTATAAACTGAGCGCAGCAAAGATGAAATCTCTACACGTGGTAAACGTTCTGAAAAAGACAGCTACAGAGAACAGCACTGGCCTCTTATACATTGTTTTAAATGCGAACAACGTGCTTCTCACGCTTATTAGACTGAGGAGCGAAGAGCTGCCAGGTCTACAAGGGCCGTCTTTTGAATGCCCTCGTAAAGAGACCGGCTTTCCTGAGTCCAGAGTCCAGCCCACGGAGGCCATGGCCAAGACAGTCACTCTGGATCCAGCCTCGAACCTTGACAACTACACAGACTTAGGGACATAGCCTCAGATGCCTCTCCCAGGACATCACTTGAACAAAAAGAACAGATGCTGTTCTGGGGTGCCTTGTCACCCCACAGTATTTTAATGGGTGGTTAGCAAAGCAATCTTGGCTGGAGTAATGAGCTGCCCCCTTTCCCTCAACACTTTATAAACACAGCTTGTGGACTCCTCCCTCCCACTTCCGTAGGCCTTTTCTCTGCCCCTGCTTACTCTAGCAAGACCACTTCCACCCTCCTCAGTCCACATAAACCCACACATGCCCCACACAAGGCAAAAATCAGAGCGAGGTCAAGCTGACAGTTAAGAGAAAAATCAAAGAGCTGAGAACCGTCGGTACCCGGGGAAGAGCAGACAGAGTAGCTCAAGGTTGAAAACACACATGAAGGCCTGTCCTCCATGTCTGAGGCACCTCTGCTCCTACACCAGCTTACCCCGAGTGGTGGAAGTCCTTCCACGATGTTCTTCTTCCCCGAGAGGAGATCTGACACTGGCCTTTTCTTGAGAGAGTCCCTCCTCACTCGGTACCTCCCTGAAGTGGTGAGGTCAGACTCGGACATGGAGGGGGTCAGCAGCCCATCTCTCCGGGGCCGATGGGTCTCCACCACCAGGTGGACAGGGCTGATGTCCTTCACCCTCTTCTCGGGCTCCGTAAAATGGGACTTGGGCTCAAGGATATGCAGGGGGCCGGCAACTGTGGTCACGGAAGCACAGGGGTAGCTTAGCTGTTGCTCCTGAGAGTAGGTGGCGGTCAGGCGGGGCTCGGACACAGCTGAGACAGCGTGTGCTCTGCCGCTGTCCTCGTCCAAGTCCTCTTCCTCCTCGCTGCTGTGTATCAGCATGGTGGCATCAGAAAGGGACTTCTTGTGGCTGTATCTGTCGCTCTCCTGTTCTTCACCCTCCTCTTGCTTTGTTCTGTCAGAGAAGACACTGGACTGGGAGCCGGCTGAGAAAGTCCGCGGAGCCACGTCTGCCGCTGAGGCCGACATGGTCCTCTCCTTGAGCCTCAGGCCTTCGAAGCCATGTGTGAGGCCCGCAATTTCAATACTGTTCCTCTTCTGCAGATGGGCATGCCGAGCTGCTGTGAGCGGCTCGCTGACCTCCTGCAGAGAGTGCGCCACGGGCAGGCTGTCCTCCTGGAAGGTCTGCACCGAGTGGTGGACGCGCCTGGTGATGAGATCCGGGTTGCTGCTGCTGATGTAGAGGTGACGGGACAGGTCTGGGGTGCTGTTGGCCGGCCTCGGGTATGGGTACGGCGGGGGTGGCCGGTATACCTGGGTTCTCATAATGTTTGGAGCTGGGTAGTCGTGGGCCTGGAGCTGCGCATTTGTCAGCTCAGGCACACTGACAGCACCCACCACGGGGCGCCTCTCGGCAGGGTAGGGGTACGGAGACTGACTGTGGAAACTGTAGTTCAGGTTAAACGGGTAGTGAGCCGACTGGGGAGAGGTAAGGTGCGCATGCTCCCGGATCTCAGGCTGGCTGTAGACCAAGGCATCCGGCCTGCTGTATGCGTAGGAACTGCCGATGTTGAGGTTCCTCAGCGAGTGGCTGTGCCTGCCTGCATGCACCAGGCCTCTGTTGAGCTGCTTCATCACGGTCTCATAGTCGGGGGTGGGGCGGTAAGACGGGGGGATCAGGGCGCTGTGCCGATGCGACGGGATGTAGTCAGCTCTCATGACATCACTGCCAGTAATACTTGGGTTGGAAGACATTGGGGAGGGCTGCAAGTAGGGCTGGGGGGTATTTAAGGAGTTCGTGCTGTGTGCACTGTAGACGCTGCCGTTGCGGATGCGGCCGCTGAGGTCCATTTGGGTTCTGTCCAGACTTGTCTGGGAGTGACAATAGAATCCATTCTTGTTGGGCACAAAGATGTTATCTGAGGAAAGAAAAAAGTTTTAAAAGATTCTGAAAATGTATTAAGTTGGACTCATTACTCCAGTCAAATACTGAGATAGGCCCCGAAAGAGCTTGTAAATTTTCTTGCTAAAATGACACATCTTTAGTCACACTAAGTTGCCCTGGGAGCTGCAGCTTCCTCACCTACAGGATGGGTAGGTCTGCCCACTTAAAGCTCTCCTACAGGATGAGGTAGGTCTGCCCACTTAAAGCTCTCCTACAGGATAAGGTAGGTCTGCCCACTTAAAGCTCACCTACAGGATAAGGTAGGTCTGCCCACTTAAAGCTCACCTATAAGATGAGGTAGGTCTACCCACTTAAAGCTCACCTATAGGATGAGGTAGGTCTGCCCACTTAAAGCTTACCTATAGGATGAGGTAGGTCTGCCCACTTAAAGCTCACCTATAGGATGAGGTATGTCTGCCCACTTAAAGCTCACCTATAAGATGAGGTAGGTCTACCCACTTAAAGCTCACCTATAGGATGAGGTAGGTCTGCCCACTTAAAGCTTACCTATAGGATGAGGTAGGTCTGCCCACTTAAAGCTCACCTATAGGATGAGGTATGTCTGCCCACTTAAAGCTCACCTATAGGATGAGGTAGGTCTGCTCACTTAAAGCTCACCTATAGGATGAGGTAGGTCGACCTACTGAAAGCAAGGTACTTAGGATCTGGTCGACTCTAAGTCAAATATTGAGAGTATAATCATATGACAAAGTAATCTTTTTTCTGAAAGTTAAAAACATATGCTTTACTTAGACAAGAAGCGGGTTTTCTGGAATGCTGGAACTCAAAGGAGAGATACTATGGACGCCCTGAGCCACAGTGGGTAGGACTACAACCCTGAGATGCTAAGCTAGGGCAGGTACCAACTATCTGTGAACATTTCCTTAATTGGAATTTTAGGTTGTTTGCATAGATTCTTCTTTGATGAAAAAACAAATCCACGACACAAGGGCCAGTACAGTAGGCTCAGAGTTTTCCTAGCCAACAGGAAGGGGCACTGGAGTTGTAACTCCACCAAAGGCCCAGAAGCCAAGAAGAACCAGGCTAAGGTATCTGTCATTGCCCAACCAAGCCTGCAGTTGAGCAAGCTGTGGATCCAGGGCTGTAGGCTCAGGCTACTAATCTCGCAGTGCTGGTGTGCCCGCCTGGGCTAGAAGAGGCCATCTTTCCTCCACTGGACCTTCAGCTCACCTGAACTACCTATGAGCCCCAACACCCCAACTATCATCATAGAGCCTTCATCTAGTAATTGATGGAACCAGACACAGAGACACACAACCAAGAACCAGGCCTAGCTCCAGGAACCCAGTTGAAGTGAGGGAGGAGGGAATGTATGAGCAAGGGGTGGAGGTCAAGATCATGATGGAGAAATCTACAGAGACAGCTGAACTGAGCTTCTTGGAAACTCATGAACTCTAGACCAACAGCTATGGAGACTCCAGGGGACTGAACTAGGCCCTCCGTATGTGGGAGACAGTTGTGAAGCTTGGACTATCAGAGGGGCCCCTAGCAGTAAGACCACAATACAAACCTGGTACATGAGCTAGCTTGTTGAAGCCCATTCCCTATGCTGGGATGCCATGCTCAGGATGCATGGGAGAGGGGCCTGGCCCTGCCCCAACCTATTGTGCCAGACTGTGCTGACTCCTCACAGAGCCCTTATCTGTGAGGAGGAGTGAACTGGGGGTGGGCTGCGGAGGAGGTGAGAGGGAGAAGCCAGGAGGAGGTGGGCGGAGGGAGAGGAGGGAGAACAGTGATTGGAATGTAAAATGAAATAATTTTTTTTAAAAAGTGAAAAAAAAAAAAAACAGCAGAAGGCATTGTTTGGGTAATTCAGAAGGCCCGTGGTGGTATGGTGTCTGATTGCCTGCTGGGCGCACTGCATTTTGGGGCGCACACAGCTCTGAGGAAGCCAGGCCCATAACCTCTCCCCTCCTGCTGCACTCCACTGCCTCATCCTGTTCTTCTCCAGCTGCAGAACACTCAGCCATTGCTGAATCTCTAGACCCAGGTTGTCTAGACCAGTGTGACACCTACCTACCTAGTGTCTCTGCCTCCAGGCTCTCTAAGAGCACACAGGACTATACCTCTCCATCCCATGGTGCCAAGCACATACCTGTGACTCGTAACAGGAAGGAGAAAGTGATCAGAAAGTTAAGAGCCAGTTTCTGAGGACTCCTCCTCCCATCCCCCCAGTGCCTTGGCCTACACCATTACAGAGAGAAAAGGCTCCTCCAGTCTGAGACCCTGATACAGGCTGACATGGAACAGAGCCCACCTGCCAGGACTCAATGGGCAGGGACTCTGGTGGAGAGGTAAAGCCTCCAATGGTTTTAAATGTTGTTAGCACAGCAGAACCAGACCATCCAGGCTGAACAGCAGCATGTGACCTGGAAGGTGGCTGGGATAAGGGTGTGTGGGTGGCAGTGAAGAGGGCAAAGCCAGGGCCCACTCAGATACAACAAGCTAGAGAGAAGCAAGCTACCAGCAGGAAGCCAGATGAGACGGGCCGGCTAAGGGGGGTGTCAGGAGCACGGACCTGCAGACAAGGGATGGTCATGTGTACCAGGGAGGTTAGCTGGCAGCTTTCTGTCAGGTCACCTGGGGAGTGTAAAAGACCAAAGACACAGCTCACGGGAGCAACTGCTGATGAAAGGTACAAAAGGACAAGGACCTATGTTGGAGCGGGAGCAAGGGGACAGAGAGAAGGGGATATGGAAAAGATAGCGTAGGATGTCATGGCTATTTAACTGACCGGGTAAAAGTACATCCACATAACCAGAGAGTGGCTTCATCATAACAGAGGACTGTAAAAACAAACAGACTTGCAGGGTAAAGCAATGAGTTCAAGTTTAATATTCAATTCCCAGCAAGCCCTGATAGTTGACACCAGTTCCTAAGAGACTACTAGTGGCTAGAGAGCCTCGGTGCAGGGTTCCCACCTGTCAGACAGCGGGGCATGGGGCATGGGTGGGACACGGGGATGAAGACAGGGTGGGAAATGAGACTCTGAGTCACCCTTAGAGGAAATCCACATGAAGGAGCTGCTGTGGAAGCCCCCTCAGGGGAGGAAAATTCCAGACAGGTCTTTGTGACACCACCTAATACTAACAGGAGGACGACCCAGGGTGTGGAAACCTCTGAGAGGGATTAAGAGGGAACCAATGGGATGGAACACAGAGACATCACTCTGAGACGGAGGGCAGTCAAGAAGGGAAACCATTGTCTGAAGAGAGGAAAGAGTGGCAGGGTCGTCCTAGATCAAACATCACAGAGACAGAAGGCAGAAGTCTCGTCCCCAGGGCTGGAGGGGCTACAGTGAAGATGGGCACAGAAGAGGGACAGGAATGGGACAGTCCCGGAGGACATTGGACTCCACACCACTGCTATTGCCTTCCTCACTGTGGGGACATCCTGAACTTGGCATGGAAGGCCACAACTAGAAGGGCAGTCGACACGCCTTCTTCCTGTCCCTTCAGACCCGTGCCCTTAGAGTGGGCAGCAGACCCCACTTTCAAACGGCCCCTTCGCCTTCCGGTGCCACAGCACTCACCAGCCAGAGAGGCAGACCCAGGGCACAGACCAGCCTGGAACTGGTGATGTTCAGCCATCCCACTAGATCCAGAAAGCTCTTCTCAGTGCCCCCAACATGATGAACAGAATGCTAATGCGTGTTCTCTTAGCAACGTAACTGTGGTCAGATGATGAGCAAAGGCCTTATTTCCACAACTAGGGTCCAAGCCTCTTTACACGGACCTGCTCATCCACCCCTCGGGCCTTCGGTGGTTAGAGCTTACAGACAAATGGTACACAGGTGGCTGAGATCCAGCGGGGAGGCACTGCTGTGCACACACATCTAGAGTGGCAGTGACAAGCCCTTATAGCATTACAGTCAGATGTTTCAGGCAGGGAGAAAACAGAACTTGTCTGGGTGTCTCTTGTGGTTGCCTGATGTGGTGGTACAGGCCTATAATACATCACTTGGAGGCCAAGGCTGGAAAATCACAAACTTCAGGGAAGCCTGGCCTAAAGAAGACTAATGGGGGAGGCTTCCAGGACTCAGGAACCAGCTTAGGGAGTTGCCAGTGGCCACATCTGAGGTCAGCTGAGCAACGCACGTTCACAAAAGAACCCGAATGCAACGGCTTCTTCTGGGGTTCCGGGATGGCTATAATCAGGACAGTTGGGGTACAACTGCAACAAGAGAGCATGCAGACTTCAAGGTCTCTATGTCTTCACGGAGTTATTCATAGCTGTAGCTGCGCACGGCGTTGCAGACTCGTATACTTTACCTTGGGAGGAAGTAAACGGCTCTGAATAATGTCCGTTATAATGCAGCTGGGGCGGGGGAGGCATCGCATAGGGCTGGGGTTTAGGCTAAGAAATGGAAAGTTGGACATAGAGTTAAAACACATTGCCCATGTCAGGAAGGTGAAGTCATTCTTTGCTGGACTCTTTCTCCTCACTAAAAAGACCTTTTACAGGAGTTACATGTATTATAAATGAAAAATAACTACAAAAATGAAGGAGGCCTTAACATATCTGTCATTTTCAATGCATCCCACGTGACAAAGTCAAGCCTTAGGCACTGACACCGAGGATACGAGACAGCACAAGGAAGTCTGCATCCAGGAAGTTATGAATGAGAAGGAATGGATACAAATCTCCTTGTCTAAACTCATCAATGAAAAGGCTCTTTTGTACTACAAACTCTGTAAGACAAAGTCATCAAGTAAATTAAATAATACGCTTAAGATTTCAGGCTAACCAGTTAAAAAAAGTCATAATATTTGGTTGTATCTAATATTTGAACAAGTACAATAAATATTAAGTTGAACTCATAGAAGTCGCTATTTCTTTGGATACTGCCCAAAGCATATTGCAATTGAAGTGCCATCACTAAGAGAGAAGAGGTGACCATGTTCCTTCTCTTACCAGAGACATCCTGGAAGATGAGCCCCTCCTGACTGGGTTCAAGGTGGCAGTCTGAGTTTGCCTGTGGGAGAAGACAACTGTGAGCCCAGCACGCACTGCTTCCTAGTCTACAACAATAAGCCAGCTTTAGGAGGGAAGCCAGTGTGTAACTCCAGCATGCAAGAGGCTAAGGCATGCATGCTGGAGTTTGAGCATGGCTATGTGTTTGAGGCAAGCCTGGATGACATCTGAATTACAGGCTAGCTAGGATACAGACAGAGGGAGACACTGTCACAAAATAATACTAACAGAAAGAGATACAGACAGGTAAAATGAGAAATATCCTAAGGCAAATGACAAAGGTCAAACATGCCATAAATTACAGAAAAGAGAGTTGTCAATACCTAATGTAGGACTTCACAGCTTCCCCAGAACAAAACAAGCACACGCTTCTCTTTGTTTAAACACATACACACACACACACACACACACACACACACACACACTAGCGCACACACACTAGCGCACACAAACAAATATACACTTAGTTCTCTTTCTTTCCATTTGTTTTACTTAAGTGTGAGTGGGTATGGCGTGGACATGTGCATTAGATTCTTGCTAATGGTGATAATGCCCATGATTTTGTCAAGGACGTTGTAGTTTACCAAGAGCTTGTGTGACACACAACTATTAACACATTCTATGGCATTGGCCCTAAGACCGTTACGAAAACTCTGTCTTCACAAAGTAAACAAAATTAGTGTCCTGATTCAGCAAATTGCCAGAAGGCCGCCTCTTTTCTTCTATACTAGCATTATTCTTAGCATCTATATTACACCCTGAATATGACTTTATTTTTACAGGACCTTTAAAATAGAGAAAACTATTGGACATTAGGCTCTTTATGACAGGTGATTACTATGCACTTACTAGGCAATTTCTTTTGTTGTTGTTTTTGTTTTTTGAGACAAGGTTTCTCTGTGTAGCTTTGGAGCCTGTCCTGGCTTCAAACTCACAGAGATCTGCCTGAGTAGACAATTTCTTTAAACAACTTCCTTTCCTATGTCTGGGAAGTATTCAGGTTGCTGGAGAACAATACACATATCTTTCCTTTTCCTTTCTTTTCTTGGCAGTGAACTTTAGGGCTTTATTGTGTAGCTGTCTATTTTCCAAAAGACACATCTTTCCAATATCTTTACAATATCCTGCCAAGTATTCAAGCCTGCAGGGTGCATATGTTTTTTCTAGAGTGTCCCTTAAATATGCATAAGACCTTGATTTTTTGGTGCTTTGAAACTTACTTTGCCTGTGGGCACTTGCCATGGTTGGGCCTAGGCAAGTTCAGTCTCTCTATGGCTCACCATCTAGATGAATTGGGCTTTTAAAAGCGTCAAAGCTGGGTCTGGTGGCGCACGCCTTTAGTCCCAGCACTTGAGAGGCAGAGGCATGTGGATCTTTGGAGGCTAGCCTGATCTACAGAGCTGTCTCCAAGACAGCCAAGGCTACTACAAAGAAACCCTCATTTGAAACAGCCAATCCCCCCTTAAAAAAAAGCGGCATAAATTTCAAAGTGGGGAGAAGGAGCACACTTATCAACAAAGGCCTAATGACATCTTCACAGCTGGACAGCCCGGGCAAGAATACATCTTCAGCGTGTGAAGTACAGAAGCCAGTGACACGGGGCTCAGGAACAGAGGCAGCCATTCTTACCCACTGGCATCTTGCTGACAGCATCCAGTGGGAAAGCGGAAGCAGAAACCAGCTCTGCTGAAAAGGAGACAAAAGCTACCACATGCGCCCACTGAACAGTCTGACCTGGGCAATCTTGCCGCTGGCTTGTTCTAACCGTCTGCCTCTTTTTTCCCATTGCTCTTCTAAGTGCAGCGCAAGGAGGGGCCAGCCATCACCAACTTTTCTCAGAAGAGAAGGAAGCGGCTTGGGGTGCTTTCTGGGCTGGTAAGTAACACTGGGAAGTGAGGCAGCTAACACTCCTGCGACCAATAGCTAGAACGCGTGCACTGGAGAAGATAATGAAAAGGCTTTGCGAAACTGGCCAGACCGCATGTGGTTATCTCGTGCAATCTGCACGACAGCATGAGGGAGGTCCAGTCGTCAGTTTTACAAATGAGGAAAGTGATACTTAGATTAAGCAGATCGCACTTGGTCACAGGGCAAAAAAGTGACAGAACCAGCATTTGAACGGGCAGGTCTGCTGGCTGCCTGAGTGGAGTCTCTGACAGTCATTTTTCTGATGATGTTCATAAACTCCACGGAGGAAAGGGAAAATCCTATGTACGGCCAGTACCCAGCCCATGCCTGCATACAAGCAGCCCTCAACTGTGTGTGAGCACATGAAGGGCACAGTGGACGGGGACAGAAGTCAATATCCAGGGACTATTTCTCAGGTGAGATGTCTCAGTGGGTAAAGCACACACAGGTAAACCTAACAACCCGAGTTCAAGTCCTGGATCCCATAAGACGTCAGGAGAAAACCAACTTCCAAATGTACTCCCACACACACTAAATTAATCTATTAAGACTGCTGGAGTTGTCTCCCTTGTACTGTGTGAGCTTCTTTTCAGACAGCCTTTGGTTTACTCAAGGCTAGCAAAGAGCAAGCTTTGATCATGTGTTAGAATGTGGAGATACCTCACGGTATCTGTCTCAATGACTTTCCTCCTGTGCTTTCCTTAACAGGGTGATGAAAAACAAAACCTCCCCTGTTTCACGGTAGGCCAGAGGTACGAATCCGGCCACCATAAAGTCACTGGATCCCTGTCCCGACTTGTCACTGTGGGCAAGCAGCGATAATACCAGGAAACAGGCAATGTTGATGGCTAACGGCTGACCCCACTAACAGTCATCTACCCAAGCACCCCCACAGAAAAGGAAGCTGCCTCACTCCAACTCCAGGAGAGCTCCCTGTCCCCAACCCTTATTAGGGAGATCCACCCCACCTTGGGGACCTGTGACAACTTCCTCTTATCCCCTACAACTTCTCTCCACTGTCCTCCTTCCAGGGTCTGAGGGACTCCAGCGAGTCCCCTTCAGTCTTCTGGAAGGGGAGGAGTATGCTGCATCTTCTTCCAGTCCCTGGAGCCAACAGTTGATCTTCTGATCACCAGAGGACGACACTGGCTGCTATGTTCACCTACAGCCTTAAACCACAGAGCTAGCTCACCTCACTGCGCCTGCGCTCAGCCACAGCATGCTGCTGACTCCCTAGAGAAGGCTCTTGCCCTCCCCCGCAGCTTGGCTCTGCAGACTAGAGGGTACAGCCCACCCGGAAGGAAGAAAAATAGCTGCTAAAGCCACTAAACCTGAAGTTTTGTGCCTCCTTTTTTTCCTCATATAACTCAGGGGGGTTGATTGCTGCCAGCCCAACTCTGGGACTTGGGATACTAGAAGATGCTTCTAATCTGACTGACAGTATTATCTCATTTAGTTCCTAATACATTCCTGAAGCAATGTCGAGAGAAGGTCTCATTGTTCATGTTATACATAAAAACAATGGGAGACTCTAACATTGAAAGATGATCGATCCTGTTACCTCCAATGCCTTGTCTGGGTGGGAAGAGAATTACTGGATCCTGTCGCTGTAAATGTCACCTGGGCCAAAGAGAGATGAATCACAGCCATCCCACACCACTGTTCTACAGAAAAGCACCCAAAGGAGGGAGGCGGACATTGGAGGAGAAAGAGAATTCTTCCTACGGAAGCAGTTCCATCTCCAAACCAAGGGCCAGCTGGACCACTTAGCCGCAGTTTTGTTTACTGCCCCGTCATACTCTCACTTACCCAGTTGGACCACGAGAACAAGATCTACCAACACCTCATTTTCAGCTTTCTTACCCATCAAAACATGAAAAGTTACTAGCATAAGCTTAGTTTGCTTACCCAGGAAACAAATACATGCAATGTAATACATTTGTTTTGTACAGAATGACTCTTAAACAATTATACTAATAGTTCTTGGATATGTAGAAACTAAAAACAAAATTTGGAAAATAGTTCCTCATACATAGTAGTTCTAAAAAGAATCAAATATTCTCCATACAAGAATAATGTATGCAGTTAATACTATCTATGTAGCCTTACTCACATTTGGCAATATCCCAAAAATTAAATTTCTAAGACTACAACAATTCCCACATATATTCATTGCTTTTCTCTCTGAATTTTAAAATCAATAAAATGATGACCTGCCAAAATAGGCTCTTTAAAAAGGCATTAACCACCGGGCGTTGGTGGCGCACGCCTTTAATCCCAGCACTCGGGAGGCAGAGGCAGGCGGATCTCTGTGAGTTCGAGACCAGCCTGGACTACCAAGAGAGTTCCAGTACAGCCTCCAAAGCCACAGAGAAACCCTGTCTCAAAAAAATAAAATAAAATAAAATAAAAAATAAATAAAAGGCATTAACCAGAATCCAATATAGGGTTTACTTGAAGGCATTACATTTAATGGTTTGATCAAGATGGCTGTGGCTACTATTTTCAAGAAAAGAAATGAACTGAGGTGATGATGGCTTATTACGAATGGTCTTAAATTTATGAAAAGCTTCAAAATAAAAATACTACGTCCCAATAGATTCTGTTTGTTATTTGGATATAATTATTATATGCAGAAATAATGTCACAAACGCTCATCTTCGGGTAGCCAGGCCAGCCAAGGGGGTTTCCCAGATCCAGAATTCCTGGATCGTCTGACTCTTGACACTTTCATACACAAATCCCAGAGCGAGCGGACAGCAGAAAAGGTGGTCACGCTGCAATCAATCGTTTACACGAAAGTGGCTGGAAACGGACACTACTGTGCCAGGCAAAATCAATGGGACACACAAAGGCAAGTATCGAGTGTTTTCTCTCATTCAGTGCTGGGTGGTGGGGCAGGGCTGAGACAGCAAAAAGAGGAGCTGCAAGTGGTGGCCAACAATCCCACCATCTGGGAGGCTGAAGCAGGAGGATTGCTGCAAGTCGGAGGCCCACCTGGGCTACACAGGGAGTACAAACCCTGTCTCAAGCAAATAACGGAAAGGGATAAGCAGGATGGGGATGGGAGAGGCTGACTGTCAACAAGGGTCCTTATATGCATGTATGAGCACGTCAGAAAGAACTCTTTCTCTGTACAACTCATAAATATTAAAGGACAAGTCTCCCGTCAAAATGCCGACCAAGACATTGATTAAAAAACTATAAAAAATACTATTCCCAAGCCAGACATGGTGGCTTTTTATTCCAGCACTCAGAAGGCATAGACGAGCAGATAGATCTTGGTCTACAGAGCAAGTCCCAGGCCCACCAAGGCTCCATTGTAAGATCCTGTCGCAATAATACAACAAAAAGAATCCTACTCCCAGACTGGGGGCTATAGCTGAGTGGTAGGGTGCTGGCCTAGCATGGAGTGGGTCTTGGGTTCAATTCCCAGTGCTACGAAGGAAAAGAGAGAAAAGGAAGAAAAAAATTCCTTTCTTTTTTTTATTAAACCTTCAAGGATTATAATGGTTCTAATACTACAGAAGTTAGACATAGTGAACCATGCTCACAACCCAGGAGGCTGAGGCAGGAAAATCCCAAATTCAAAGCCAGTCTGGGCTACTTAGTAAAACCCTGTCAAAAAAGAAAAAAAGTAGTCGAGAGACACCTTAGAGGCATATTATAGCTATTAGAAGATGTCCCAATTCTAAAATGGAATATAATTTCAATTAAAGCCAAAGGACTATAGCGTCAGAAAAAAATTATCATTTGATAAAATTTGCCATTCTGGATAATACAAAGAGCTTGAGATTAACACTTGGAAATCAGGGCCAACGAGATGGCTCAGCAAGTGAAGGAGCTTGCTGCCAAGCTCAAGGAGCTAAATTCAATCCCTTGAACGACACAGTGGAGAGAACTGACCCCACCCCACCCCTCACCCCCACACATGTGCCCCCTGACACATGTACAAAATAAATACATAAATGCTATTTCCAAATTATTTTCTACAATTCCCACAGCAGGAGATACTCACAGGTCACACTGGTTTAGCCTGTAAAATCTGTGCCGTGCAACACACAGCCTCCACACGTACTTCGCTGTTTCCATGTCTTCCTGGCAAATGGAACAGAGTGGTAGAGAAAACACGTCTAAGGCAGAATAGCCCGAGAACAAGACATAACCGTTGACACATTGGGTCTACCTCATTTCCCACCCGCCGTCACTCTTTCCTTTCCTAACCCTGTATTTAACTTGGGATCTAATTACGAAAACAAAATAATCTGTCTGAACAGTTTCTAAATGATTGGAATCTTAAAACACTTGGTTCCAAAACGTCACATTTTTACCAAATACCAACTTTTATCCCTGGGAAATGACACTAAGGCTTTTCTTCTTCTTTTTTTTTTTTTTTTTTTTTTTTTTTGGTTTTACGAGACAGGGTTTCTCTGTATTGTTTTGGAGGCTGCCGGTCCAGTCTGGCCTGGAACTCACAGAGATCCGCCTGCCTCTGCCTCCCGAGTGCTGGGATTAAAGGCGTGCGCCACCACCGCCCAGCGACACTAAGGCTTTTCAAACTGAACATCTGTGTCTTGACATCGCCCTTGTTAACACAGCGATAGCAAGCACTGCACAGATGCTCACAGCAATGGCGGCCAGGCTCACTTTCTCCTCCACTTCGACTCTTTATACTTAATTCAAAAGTCACTTGGATCAAAGAATAGGAAAACAGAGACTCCTTTACAATATTTAATGAGTAACCCACTTTTGGCCAAGTGCCATTTTGTAAATGTAAAACATAAGATTTTATATCACACAGAATTATGAGGTTCTATGTCAGTGCCACACTCCCCACCCCAACACACAAAAGGGAACTCAGAAATGCTAACTTGCTAACTTTTGTGAAAAGCATCCCATGAAGATTCTTTGTGCTCACTCACAGTTTGAAACTGAATGGTCTCCTCTTTGTTTGTCAGCTCTAATGCAAAGAAGGACTTGTTGTGGGACATGTTAGCAATGTCGTGCCACCTAAAGAACAACAGAGAGTGGTAAATGCCGGTAAGTACCCTGGGAGATGGAACACATGTTCCCTTAATGTGAGTTAACACCAGTTAATCATTTTTTAAAATAAAACAGTTTTATCGGCTAGCATGCATTTTCTAACTGAAATGACAACAGCTACTAAAGGCGGGTGTGTTAAATGAAGAATGAGGATTTGGGAGACACAAACCTCACATGGTTTTAACGAGAAATATCCACATAGGCTCATGCATTTGAGCGCCTGCTCCCCTCTCGGTGGCGCTGTTGTGGGAGGATGGAGTCTTGCTGGAGGAAGGAAGTCGGTGGGGGTGGGCTTTGACAGAGAGAGCCTTGTTCCACTTGAGCTCTCAACCTGCCCTGCCACCTTCCGCCAAGCCTCCCGCCATGCCTACCCTGCCTTTATGGACTCTAACCTTCTGGAGCTGTAAGCCAAAATAAACACCCTGAAGTTGCTTTTGGTCAGGGTATTTTATCTCAGCAACTGAAAAGTAACTGATACATCTAATTTGCTTGATTGACTTTTAACAATCAAAGACCCTTATGTCAGCTTGCAGCTCCGGCCTCAACTGTGTATTGAACAAACATTTTCTTTTCTTGAACAAACACTTTAAAGGGCATTTACTATCACAATGATAATAATTGTTCCAGGTCCTAGGGATACTAAAATTAGAATGGTGACAGTCCCTGAAGGAACTTGGGAGAGTGGGAGAGTCACAGACAATACAAAATCAGATATCCTGGTATTCAGTGAAGGTAATCAGGGTAAATAAGGGGACAAGTGAGAGAGAGATGGGCACTCTGACAAGCCCCTGGGGAAGAGAACCTGAAGTACTCGGGAACTGAGAAATTAATTATTCTGGGTGTACTCAGTAGGACATGAAATCTATCCTATATCTCCTAACTTTATCATCTTCAGATTTTACAGACTTGGCTTTTGTTACCTAGCTGTGCAACATTATCAGAAACTGAATGGAAGGTGTTCAACAACACTGAACCAATCAGTCCTCCCAGAACCACCAGGGATCAGAAGTGTGGCTAATTCCGGACTCGAGTTTAGAAATGTTTGCAATAGAGCAGTGGTTGAGCAGCCCTAGCCTGGAAATCCAAAGCTCCCGAACATGAAGCATTTCAAGAGTGACCCCCCCCCAGTGCAGGGATTCGAACCCAGAGCCTGGAAACATGAGGCAAGCATTTTACCACTGAGCTCTATCCTTATCGACTCCTCCCCATCTTTAATTGGAGATTTTTGGACTCTGGATGTTCAGATTGTGTTATATTTATTTAGTTAAAATTTGTTAAATCAAAGTTCACTTAGTGCTCAGTTGTTAAACCTAAAGATCATTATGCAAGTATTAAATGAAGAGATTTGAAAATCCTTATGCAGTGAAGAAAGCAACCAACTGAGTGCCTCTGGTTTCCATCTGGCCTCTGGGCACTGTCGGTCCTGCTGTCTGAGTGGAGCCCTGACTCATTTTCCTCTCCCTCACAAATGCCAGGAGTCCTCTCATGTCCCCCAGCTCAGCATGCTGGGGAGATTCACTACACCTGATTGAGGACAAGAGCCCACTCGACTCAGAAAGCAGCCCCACATAGGCAGGGGGGCTGGGGCTCTGCTCCCCAAGCCATGTGGACTCTCTGTGGTCACTGTCACTCTGGATAATTCAGGGCCCAAAGAAGAGAAGGAAGTGATGTCATTTTAGTGAAAGCGGTCTTAAAGGGGAGGACCACTCCTCAAGAACACAGTGGCAAATAGAAGGAAGAAAAGGAGCTATCTCAAAGGAAGGAGGGAGGCAGGGAGGGAGAGAGAGAGAGGGAAGGAGGGAGATAGAGATGGAGAGAGAGAGGGAGGAAGAAGGGAGGGATGGAGGGAGGGAGGGAGGGAGGGAGGGAGGGAGGAAGGAAGGAAGGAAGGAAGGAAGGAAGGAAGGAAGGAAGGAAGGAAGGGAGGGCGAGTGGGCAGGTGAGGAATGTAACAGTGCCTAGGAGCCCGGCTTACATAGAGAATCTGAGTTCTAGTCCAGCTACACCTGTCAGCGGGTGACCTTAGACAAATCACTTGGCTTTTCTAGGCCTCCATTATCTCATGTGAAAACTGGGGTGATATCTGCTATCCTGAGTTATTACAAAGATGACGATTGTATGAGCAGTCAGCATAGCATCTGGTTTCTGCTAAATTGCACCCAGTAAATGATAGACACAAAGGAACCAGCAGACAAAAATGGTAGACATGCCCCACTACTGAATGAAAACAGCAGAAACCTTCTGTTTTATTTAAATTGATCATTCAAATAGAGTAAAAGTGCAAATGCTTTTACAAAATTCTAGCAGATTTTCTAAGACTACAGATTTTAAGGAATTATATATAAAGGTGAACAACATAACCTAATTTACTACATTTAAGATACAAACGGAAGACACCATGTTGGTACTGACCAGGAAACTTCCTCCCTGCTGCCTAGCTCTCACAGTGCCTGAAGGTGCTATGTAGGAGGGAAGTCATCAGCAGTCTTACCCAGCTATGAATGCTGCAGCTACAAATACTGGTATGACAAGATATGCCTACAGGTGCCGTAGTGTCACAAATGTTACAGGGTAACCAACGGTTTTCTGGTTGAATTTAAGGCTAGACCCACCAGGGGCAAAGAGGAGAAAACCACATGCCTTGTACTATAAATCTGGCAAGAACCCATGGGTGGGGAGCTTATTGGCCCCAGGAGAAAACCTACCATTTGCTAAATGGTCACAATATCAAACGGTCCTCTGAATTGGTATCTCCATACCCATTGATTAGTGCCACTCTCTGACCTCCTAGAGAAGTTTCTTTGTTGGTGCTGCAGATGGTGGGTGGTAGGTAGTTAACAGAGAAACTCAAGCTGGTCACAGTGCAGAGAACAAACGTTTGTGGAGTGCTCAACCATGAGGAGCATCTGCATCCCATACCCTCCCACCAAGACTCAGGACCATCATAGAAGAGGAAGACAGATTCTAAAACCCAAAGTTCAGGAAAGAAAGGAGTGAAACAGTATCTTCTAGACATGAGAGGACTCCTGGCATTTGTGAGCTCACAGCAGTTGTGGTTGCCTGCACAAGATCAAACCCACCCCCACCCTCATCTGAGGAGCTACTAACGTTGATGTCTTCTTGGGGAGGGGAAGTCAGTTGTCTTTAAGAGAATGGTGTCTCGTGGGTTGACTACACTATAGTGTATGGCCCCGTACCCATGCACATATGGACTCCACGGGTTTCAGATATATTATGTACATGGACACCAAGTTGGGGAGTATATGCAAGAGGAGTTATGAGAGAAATGGGGAGAGTGAATATGATCCAAAATCACTGTGTGGAGATGTGAAAATCTCAAAGAATTAATAAAATATTACATGTCTGAAAAGATACAATTGGAACACAGAATACTGTAATCTTAAGCCATCTGTTCTTCGCTTCTCAGAAACTGCATGCCATTGTCGCCACGTCCCCGCCCGCCATTGTGCATGCGTACCACACATGCTCCAGATGTGTACAAGTGAGCAGCACTGCCTTTCATCACTGGGGGGAAGTCAGCTTTGCAAACACTGAGGTTTGCTGAGATGTCCGCACTATACTAGCTTTGTTACACCAAAGTCAAAAGAAAGCCCAGATTTCCATAGTGAATAAATAATCCCTGAAACCAGAATTCAAATGAAAAAAACAAAATATCAAAATAAAGAACGGCTTTTCTGTCCCATCAGGGTCAGGCTTTTCAGCATTTACAAACATCATATGAGGACTTTTTTTCTGCACAGTTGTTTTTGAAGACAGTAGCTTATTAATGAACCAGTGTACTTGGGTAGCATTTAACTCTAGAACAAGAATATCTCCATTTTCTAGTGAGAACTTAAGGGAGACTTGCCAGCAATAACTACTGTAGTAAGTATTTACAACAAACAAACAAAATACCTGAATACCACAGGAGGTCTTCCATTCTTATGTTTCACAAAGATGCCATCAAGACAAGCACCGATGGATATGTCACTTCCTTGGCTATCCTACACGGAGAGAAAGAAGGAAGAGACCTGTGGGAAACAGTACATAAGGGCAAATGCATCCCCTTCATTGAGCTTATTTCCCAGACAGAAGACCTGCAGGGCAACCACTCAGAAGGAAACAGTCAGAATGGTGCAAACTCACCACCTTGCTAGTGAGTATGGCGATAGAAGGAGTTTATTCTCTTTTAAAAATACCTTTATTATGATGTTTACTTAATTACTTTGAATGCGGGTGCACACATGCCAGTACACATATAGAGGTCAGAGGACAACCTGTGGGAGTTGGTTTTCTCCTTCTACCGTGGCAATCCCAGGATCAGCCTCAGGTCATCAGACTTGGTGGCAAGTGCCTTAACCCCCTGAGCCAAGTTCAGACTCTTGGGAACTCTATTTCCTGACGCTACCAAAGCACAAATTACAAGAATGTATTTTACTACAAATTTGTGGTCGAGAAAGACCTCAGCCATGCTATTTTCTCAAATAGTTAAGCGTCATATTTGTCTGTTCCTCTATCACCCCCACCCCGTCTTTTTTCAACAGGACCTCGCTCCGTTTCTGATTCTATTTTCAATGATTCCCCTACCTCAGACTTCAGAGTGGCCGGGAGTACAGGTACACAGAACCATGCCCAGCTTACTGCGCTTGACTTTAGGTAGTCCTACTTACCTTGGCAGGGTAGCTCTCCTCTCCATAACCATCCATTCTCTCTACTTCCTGCATGTACAGCATTTCAGCTTCAGGAGCTGGTAGCCCTCTGCAACCCAAAAGATGTTAGTGACATTGCTCCCAAATGCACACTTCTTAAATAATGCTTTCCTTAAGAGCTGTATGTCAATTTGGAATAGGACATTATAAACATTCCAGGCTATTAGCAATTGTACTTAGTGATACTGATCCTCGAATATTGACCAAAAACTACCTATGACGCACTGTGCTGAATGCAGAGGGCAAGTATGTAAAACCTAATGCTTTAGGCAGCAAGAGGACAAGCAAGGGATGAAGCAGCTCCTAAGGCATCTTCAAGGCAAATCCAAGAGTTGTTACCTAAACTAGCAAGCAGTTGCTTAATTACCCTAAAATATCCGGAAATATTCGAAAACCAAATGATGGGGCTGAAGAGATTGATCTCCAGTTAAGGGCACTGACTGCTCTTTGAGAAAACCAGGGTTAGATTCCCAACACCCACAGGGCAGCTCACAAACATCTGTAACTACAGCTCCAGGAGCTCCAATGCCTCCTTCTGACCTCCACAGGCACGCATGTGGTACACATACATACATTCAGGAAACGCTCATACAAACGAAATAAAATGACTAAATCTAGACAATTGTTTTCAAAAACGACATGATAATGTAAGAGATAAGGGCAGGGGAGGCTAGAGGCAAACCCTTTTAGTTCAGAAGACTGGAGCACTAGAGGAGAATGAGGAAGAAAGGGACTTAAATGCATGGCCTCAGCAGTCTCATCTGCTGCTCCTACCCCTACCCCCACCCCACGGACCCAAGGTACCTAGCGCTGAAGCCACCCCAGACACTCTGCATCTCCTTGAACCTTTGTGCATATAGATGCCTCACATCATACACCTATCATCCACACATGGGCCTGGCAATCACCAGTGTCCTCAGGGCTCAGAGTCTGTACCATTCCTTCTGTCAGATTCTGGGTCTCCCCAATGCCCGCCCCTGCGCTTCAAGTCCTAACACACACTGTCCACACCTCCTCTAACTGCAGCCACTATTCTCCTACTAACTACTCACACAGTGGGTTGTGCTGCCTAGCCTAAGATTGCTGGGAACACATTCTCGGAAAGGAGAGAATTATTCTACTTATCTTTAAGTCAAACCATCCAGCATTCTGCTTCATAAGGACAGAAAGTGCTATTATTTAAATGAATGAAGTAAAATGACAAAAAAAAAAAAGGATCAAGTGCGCCAGAAAAAAAAAAAAAAAGGTTTATGTAGACATACAGGCAGAAGAGTTAAGATTAGCAACTTAAGGAGATCAAGACAATACCCATGAGCATTTGGGAAGGAATGCAGGAAGAGATGAGAGAATGATACCTTTGGAAGGTTACTCTTTTGCAATCAGCAGGGTCAGAGAGAGACTACAGGCAAAGGCTAAAGGTTCTAACTAGACATATCTACTTTCAATTGCTTCTACCATACACCAGAGACCTGAGTCATTCTGAGTTTAGTTTCCTTCACCTCTAAGACAGAGGCAATGATCTCTTTAAAGAATATTAGAGCTATCGGAATGTGATTATATGTATAGTACCCGGAATGCTGTATATTGGCTTAGAATAGCAGTGAGCATCTTAGATTTTTACAGTCAACAGAGATTCACCATCAAAGAAGGTCGACGTGGAGCAGCATAGACAAGTGCGTGCAAGGACAGTCGGGGCAGCAAACATGAGGACTCTTATCACTGCTCCTCTGTGGACAGAGGTGCTGCTTCAGAAAGTACACAGGGAAGCCGTGGTCATGTGATGCATGTCTGTAACCCTAGCACTCGGGAGGAGGGGCAGCAAGATGGCAAGTTTGAGACTAACCTGGTTCTCAAAAATATCCAGGGCACAGGATGCAGCTCAGTGGTGAAGTGTCTGCCTACCATATACAAGGCCCTGAGTTCAAATTCTAGCGCTATTTTTAAAAAGAGAGAGAAAGAGGGAAAGGATAGGTAGATAGATGGGTAGATGGATAGATGGATGGATAGATGATAGATAGACAGATGGATGGATGGATGGATAGATAGATAGATAGATAGATAGATAGACAGATGACAGACAGACAGACAAAAGAAAGAGCACCTGGAGGACTGAACTATAAAAAACAAACTTCTGTAATCATGCACTAATTTATACAGGGTTAGTTACCGCCACACTTGATTATATGGGGCTGTTTCAATACCCTCCATTTCCTCATTGGTAAGATGGATAATAGTTGAAATGCTGGGGCTGTGTGTATTTAGAACAGCACTTGGCCCACAGCAAAGGTCACTATAACAGCCAGCAAGGCAAATGAAAGTTTAACACACAAAGCGTGTTTCAAAGCCAAGCAGCCATCAAGTGCGCATGTCTCTCCTGGTGTTACCTGTATTTCTGATGTAGTAAGGCCACTTTTTGGGTTGCTTCTTCCAGCACATTTTCGTCCTGCAGCCAGCCCTGAAGGAAACACACAGCAGTCGGCACATGCGTGTTTAAAGAATGAACCACTCTTTCACGTGAGGCAAGATTCTGACCAGTGCTAACATCCGGGAGCTTTGCTTTTATATATAGTTGTGATGTATCTAACGAATTAAGTGGTTTCTGCTCAGGAGCCAAAAGATTCGCTCTGCCTCCTCTCAGGAGCCGAAAGATTTGCCCTGCCTCCTGGGCTCCTCCCAGGGCAAGTTTCAGCTGAGTTTTAAGGTTGGAACACCCATCAGCCAGTTCTGAGCTCAGTGCTAACCCACTTACTCAGGAGAACACTTCACCCTCCTTGGTGGTCTCAGGGAGATGATCGCATCTATTTCTTCAACAGTAGCTTCAGAAAGTAGAAGGTAGGGTTTTCAACACTGATGACAAGTCAAGCCCATCCCAGCATTTAGCATTTACTTTGTGATTCTCCAAAACTGAAAAGCAATCCCTCTCCGTAGACACATAGCCAAAGGAAAGAATGTCTTAGCCGGGTGTTGGTGGGGCACGCCTTTAATCCCAGCACTTGGGAAGCAGGGGCAGGTGGATCTCTGTGAGTTCGAGGCCAGCCCGGTCTACAGAGCAAGTTCCAGCATAGCCTCCAAAACAATGCAGAGAAACCCTGTCTTGAAAAACCAAAAAAAAAAGAATGTCTTTAGGCACAGGATGGCAACCTACACCCCAGTTATTTTTGGGTTTGGGTTTTTGTTTGTTTGGTTTGGTTTTTCGAGACAGGGTTTTGCTATGTAGCACTGGCCCTTGGCTGTCCTGGAACTAACTATGTAAACCAGGCTGGGCTCAAACTCACAGAGATCTGCCTACCCCTGTCTCTGTAGTGCTAGAATTAGAGGTGTGCACCACCACAGCTGGGCCTAACCAGCACCCTACAGTCCCTGTGAATTTACAAAGACCAAGAAGACTCCAGCAGGGAAAGACTGGCACACAAGACATTGACGGGAGGAACTAACTTCGTAATGCTAGTTCTGTTTAGAACATCTGCCATGTGGACATTCAGGGATTGCTAAGAGTTTAGGAATAAACCACGTATAAAAAGAAGTCTTGGGCTGGAGAGATGGCTCAGCGGTTAAGAGCATTGACTGTTCTTCCGGAGGTCCTGAGTTCAATTCCCGGCAATGACATGGTGGCTCACAACCACCTTGAATGAGATCTGGTGCCTTCTGCTGGCATGCAGGCAGAAGACTGTATACACAATAAATAAATAAAATATAAAAAAAAAGAAGTCTTACCACAGGAAGCAAGGCAAATTTCTGAAGGAAGTCTTGGGATTCATACTGATCAAAGTCACCAAAATCAGCTATACAAAATGATAAACATTCACACGTTGATTACATTTAATTTGCATAACACGTTTGCACAACAAAAATCAGTAAGTAGTGTGGATGGCACGCTATGACTCGGAAGTCAAATCTGTCCAACGGATAAGAGTATCTTCCAAAAGCCATTAGGTGGATGCATGCATCTTGACTTGGGAAAATGTCTATGAAGTGAGACAAAGCCACCCTGAGTGTGACATGTGCTTCCACGCAGGAAAGTGTCGCGAGGAAACCAAGTGGGGACAGGGAATGGGACACTGAGAATGGTTATGTGCAGGCGGCATATAAGGAGTGGCGTACCACCATGTCAGACGTCCGTTTACCTCAAGATGACAGACGTCCACAACTGCTAGTATCTGGAAGAGTTTTATCATTCTTTCATTCTTTTGTGGGTTTCTTGTTTTGTTTTGTTTTGTTTTGTTTTGTTTTGTTTTGTTTTGTTTTAAGACATGGTCCCACTGTGTAGCCTTGACGGGCCTGGACCTCTCTATAGACAACAAGCTGGCCTGGAATTCACATGAGTCTGCTTCCTTGCTGGGATTAAAGGTGTGTGCCACCCAGCCCAGTTTACTTTTTCTTTTGATTAAATTCCATGTTTACCACCAGGTACCACTTGAAATAATGTATCGGCAGAAATTTCCCCAGAGCATTAGTTAAAAAACATTTATGATAGGCTGGAAAGATGGCTCAGAGATTAAGAGCACTGACTGCTCTTCCAGGGGTCCTGAGTTCAATTCCCAGCAACCACATGGTGGCTCACAGCCATCTACAATTCAATCTGGTGCCCTCTTCTGGCATGTAGGCAGAACACTGTATATGCGATAAATAAATACAAATAGTAAATAAATAAATAAAATTCATGAAACACAAAACCACTTCTATTGTGAGTGATGGTGCTCTCTAATCTGGAATAGCTATTTGAGAAATCAAAGAAATGAGATGTACTTGAAATATAAATGAATGTAACTTCATGAACCCCATTGGTGGAAAAATCTTTCCTCCCAAAATAATAGGATCAAATCAAGTCTTAAGAGACATTAACACTTAGCCTGTTGTTTGATTTTTCTATACAAACATATACATGTGTGCTCCTTTGACACATTACATAATTAATCAGAATGTCCACAAATCTCATATTTCATTGAAGAAATCCAAATTGTCTTCTTACAATAAAGCCCCTAGCTAATAGCATAATATTCCACCAATACATAAATACTATAATAATTCATATAGAGAATAAGTTGCTTTCAGGATCCTTTGCTGTTTTTGTTTTAACACATGTCTTAATCTGGTAGATTATCACTTTACATGCATTGCTTACCTTGAACAGCTAAACCAGCTAGCTGAATGGCTTGTTCTAATGTGCAGGGAAGGTTTCCTTCCAAAATATCTTTCTTCAGCTGCAGGTAATACTGATACCTATTTGAAAGGATGAGTTTATTAAATCAATATTACCATAATTTGACCAAGAAGCAGTGCACTGTACCATAGTTTAGTAGAGTAACATAAAACTGTCAAAACTGTAACCCTGGATGTTTCAAAATGTGAAAAGAATGCCACTGACAACAGCACATCATTTAACCTGTTTAATGAGAAGTCAGTTATCCCTTGCTTCAATTATTTCAAAGTTAAAACCAGGGACCAGAGATGTATCTCTGGGGTAAACATTTGCTTAGAATGTGTGAGGCTGCCTTGATCTCCAACAAGACCCACACCACTCAGAAAAAAAACAAGGTTAAAGTCATCTATAGGACAACACCCGGTAAAAAGTCCTATTTCTTTTGTATAGTTCCTTATGTTATCTATATAGTTCTTCATGTTCTTTATTATAAGGAAAGTGCACACTCAAGAACCTATCTTTTAAATCTCGCTTGTAACTTGGTAATATAAGACTTCAGGTATTTAGTTAGATAAATACTTCACTAGCCCTGGAAAGTAAAACTTAAGGAAAAAGATTCTTGATATTTCAGATTAGGCTATCATTAAGTTTTTAAAAGTGTAATCCTAAAAAGAATAACTTCTTCTTCTTCTTTTTTTTTTGTTTTTTGTTTTTGTTTTTGTTTTTGTTTTTTTTGTTTTTACGAGACAGGGTTTCTCTGTATTGTTTTGGAGGCTGTCGGTCCAGCCCGGCCTCGAACTCACAGAGATCCGCCTGCCTCTGCCTCCCGAGGGCTGGGATTAAAGGCGTGCGCCACCACCGCCCGGCAAGAATAACTTCTAAAAGTCTTTCTTAATATCCCATAACATAGGGTTACTTCTGTCTGCCCCTAGTGTCAAGTGCACCTCGGTTTACATTCCAGCTCTCCAATGTAGGGCTCTACATGACATTGAGAATGTCACAGTTTGCAAATTCACAGCTACCAATAAAGTGAAGATATGAGCCTCCCTTCACCGAGTCAAACATAGCCAAGTGGCAGGTACAGAGCTGATAGTCACGTGCTGGCACAGGAGCAGCATCCATGAGTAGCAGTGCCTTCAGTTACATAGCATCCTGTCATTTTTCCATCTGGATGAAGTCAGGGTAAAAAACGTATTCACTCAACAGATCAGTGCTAAGGCCTGTCACTGCTCTGTGACACCGTTCTAGACAATGGAGATAGTGCTGGATTTGGGTCAATGACTCAGCCAGTGCAGTTTACAATGCCATCTCAACCCGAGTCTCTCAAGGTTTGGTGCCTTTGAGCAGTCCAACTGCAGACCATATCTGAATTATCTGGAATTCATATACATTCTTGTGTTAACCTTTAAGCTAGGCTTTATGTCTCTGCTCTTTGTTACCAAATGGCCTGACCAACACACCATCCATCCAAATAAAAAGAATTCAGATTCAGCCTTTCCTTCCTACCACCTGGCAGATACCACAGTCTCCAGCCATCAGCAATAGAATGTTGGTAACTTAGAGTGTCAGAGGGGAGGGAAAACCTGAGACTTTCTGTAAGGCTTTCAAATGCCAAAAGAGACTGTATTCAGGGAGACATCTAATAGGCGTGCTCCACATACCCCATTATCATTATTCTAGACTCTTTCCTTATATCAAATAAAAACTCTGGAATGTAACATTCGTGGACCAAATTCACTTGAGCTTCTTACCTTAGCTTTGAATGGGTTTACTATGTGAGCTGATTCTTCTATATCTGCTGTAAATTGTTCATTGCTAGTTCAATATCCTTTACATAAAAATCCCATGTGAAAATTTCCTTGTAAATGACATACTGGGACAGTGCCACATTTACAAACAAGTATGCTCCAGAGTGGTGAGGCAAGATGAGCCTCTTCCCACTCAAACTTATACAGGCTGTAACACTATTGTTACAAGTAACAAAAAAAAATGGATTCATGTAGTAACCAACGAGGTTACACACTATCAATTTGTGAATTTATAAAGAATTCAATATGTCCAATCATTATTCATTATTCTCAAAATTGCCTATCTTTTGCAAACAAAAATCCCTGTAAGCACCCATCATGTGGGTGACAGTTTTCTGCTGCCTTATGGCTACCTTTTTCCGATAAGTCCTCATGTTCTGAAGACATAAAGACATGATTCAGATTTTTGTTCTCTGCCTTTTTTCTTAAAGTACTTTTGAATGTTTTTCTGGGGGGTGCAGGGGGAACTAAACCCAGAGTGTCACATCTACTTGGCAAATGCTTTACCACTCAACTACACCTCTAGCCCTGAGTGGGTTTTTGTAAGATCTTTTTGAGGTAAAAGTGGCACATAATAAACTGCTCCAATGTACAAATCTAACATATCAAAGATACACAAAGTCACGGCTACAGGACAAAAAGCCTGAGTACCAATTGCCTGCAAGAGTTTCTTGACATGACACAAAATCCTCCTACACCTTCCCCCTTCCTAGAAACCACCGTTCTGTCTCCAGACTCCACAGCTTGGAAAGTTAAAACCTGTCCAGACATCTTAGACTCTGAGGGCACCGAGCAAGTGGGACGAAGATGCTGAAAGCACCAGTGTCCTTGGGGACTCTGAACTGCGGAGCTGTCACACAAGTCTGCAGGGCTGACCTGGGGGCCTCATTTTGGAGCTGAAGGCTTCTCATGGACGCTCATGACCATACTTAATTCTTACTGATGGAACTTCTCTAGGTCTTCACCTAATCAAGGAGCAGTCCTACACACTGAGCCCAGTAACCGCAGACTTTTTCATCCCACATATGGCTCATGTCTTTGTGAAGTAAGTAAGGTGTGTGCTCTAATCCAACACAGCTTCCTAACTGGTCTCCTGCCACTTCCAACTGAATTCGGGAGTTTTGTCATCTCTAATTTATCATCCAATGTGAATGGTCTCTGTAAGACACAAATTTGGTCATTCCACTCCATTAATATTTGAAAAAGCCTTCCTCATTGTACTGTGTCTTTAGTATTACCACACCCCTGGCTTTTAAACCTTTTCAGGTATTATCCAAACTCCCTAGTCTCCCTGCTTTCCACAGGCCACACCCCCTAACTAGAAAATTCCTTCTATAGCCTCCCAAGAAGTGGACTGTTTCCTCCCTTAGTCAAGTTCTCCACGCTCCACCCCTAGGAATCCAGAGCTTTGAATCAAATGTTTGTTATCACAGGATACCGTGACTACTTATGTACATGAACTGCCAGTTCCACCGGAGTGTGAGGGAGCCACTCCTTCAGGGTCAGATTCAAATGACTCCCTAACAGCTTTCAGGCCACAGAGTATCTTCAGTCAATGTTTAATGAGTTAGGTGGCTGGTTCACATTTTTCCTTCTGGCTTCCACTTCCCTCCTCAATGTTTTTATTTCAGACCTGTTCACAGTCCGTTTGTGCTCATACCCAGTACGTGACCTCAGTTTCCTCGAGTCTTCTGATAAGCACCTGGCACATTCAAATAGCATTCCACGGGCATGAGGCAGCAGCAATTCTTACTATCTGCAGGGCATTATAGCTTTCAAATGAAGGGGAAAGCCAAAGAAAACATGGAAAAGATGTAGAAAGAAGGTAAGGCACATACGCAAACGACCATAATAGGAGGCTGTGATAGCAACCACCATAACAGCTCTACAAGCAAATCCTAACATAGCATGGGGTAGGCAAAGTGCACCCCGGCCTCGGGCATCTCAGAGCTTCACAGAGTCAGATGAATACGGCTGCAGTATGAGAACGACATAGGAGACAAAGACAGAAGGCACATGATGTTTAGGATACCGACATCGCCCAGACTGAATCCAAAGTAATGCTATTAAGTAGGGTTTAAAAGATAAGGCAGTGCTAAGTTTCAGACATCTTAGGCAAGATCAAGCATTCAACGTTTATATTTCTTTCCCCTTCCTCCCTCTTCTCCTCTTATTTTTGGGGGGGTGGGTGGGTGGAGGCAGGGTTTCTCTGTGTAACCCTGGCTGTCCTGGAACTCGCTCGCTATGTAGACCAGGCTGGCTTCCAACTCAGAGACTGGCCTGCCTCTGCCTCCCAAGGGCTGGGGTTAAAGGCGTGCACCACCACCGCCCAACTGTACTTCTTTTTTTATTTCTTAGATGCTGGAGGAGAAAGCATGGGCCCTAAGTGTACCAGGTGGGTGCCCTCCACAGGTACAGAGCTCCACCCAAAACTGAAAAATCAAAACTTTCTCACTATGTTTTTTTGTCTTCAGGAAATTAAAAAAAAAAGAATTCATAATAGCTAAGTTCTAGACCCGACCTAGCTGTCCATCAAGAGAGATAAAGAGAATGGTGAACATAGACACAAGGGATTTTTTTTAAAGCATGAGAAAGAATTATGGTATGGTATTTCAAGGAATGTGGATGCAACCGGAGTTAATCATATTAGGAGAATTAAGTCAATCTCCGGAAGACAAATACTGCGTGCTTTCTTCTCATTTCTCCCCAAGGTCATTTATGTAGGAGAAAGTGAAAGCATAAAGGAAACTGTAGGGGAACAAAGGGGACTGACGGGGTGGGAAGGGACACACACGGGGACAGTAGAGGGCACAGGGGGGGGCACGATCTGAGTCAGTCCCATTTGCGTGAAAAGGAGCCTGCGTGACCCAGGAGGATGAAACACAGCGAGACTCCTAGCTCCTCTACGGTCCTTTCCCCTGTAAGTGCATTCACCTCCAGTATCGTCTGATCATAAATGTCTTCCCTCTCTGCGGCCCTCTGCCCCCATGTTAGGCCCGACCCATCTGCAGACTTATAAGAACCTGCCAGTTCCTTGAGGAGAGAACACGGGGTTTCAGACTACCCATTTTAAATCTCTCCTCTCCCGTTTCCTCGTTACAAGGAAGCAGAAACATTGAAGAGGATATCACCAGAGTTTACCACCAGGGTGAGCCAATCCTCTTCCTGTGCCTTTGGGTCCAGGGAACCATAATCCAGTCTGACACACAGCATTCCAGAACCTCCTAGTAATGTGGTGACTAAAACTGCGGGCTGGAGGGCAAAGTCAGTCACAGGTTTTTATCCTGAGGCCTTTGACCTCGCCTTCACTCTCCTGGCCTCACTGGACCACTTTCTAAACACAGGCAGCACAAGGACCTTCTCACCTGGTGACCTCCTGCTGCAGCTGGGAAACGTTCGGCACATAAAACACCACTCCCAAGTAGACCGTGGGCTCCAAAGCGTGCTTGTCCAACTGCTTCTTTAGAGGCTTCTCCAAATCCACCCAGCGACGCTGGCTCTGCTTGTTGTAGTACCACAGGCTGAAGTAAGTGACCTGGAAGGAGGGGAGGTCACTGAAGCAGGCAGTCATGCACACAAAGATTCCAGCGATTTCCACCACCAAAGACCCAGGGCCAAGTGGCAGTCGCCTCCTACTGCCTCTCAGAAAGGGGCAAAAGCCAAGGCTTAAAGGAAAAAAACAGAAGGAATGCCAACCTCCAACTAGAAAATAGTATTCAGGAAATAGAAGCAGGACAATTGTAAGCCATTTCTTGAACTAACAGCAAAAATGCTGAAGAAAAAGATAAAAAAAATCCTAATTTTCCCATTACCAAAACACTAAAGTTACCATTATCAAAATAATTAACATGTGTATGCATGTTCACATGTGTGCACCAGTGTGGAGTTCAGAGGAGTTTGGGGAGTTGGTTCTTTTTCTCTACAATGGGTTACTGGGACTAAAGCTCAGGTCCTTGGGCCTGCATGACAAGAAATTTTATCCTCTGGGCCATCTCAGCAGCCCTATAACTAACATTACATAAAAAACCTAAAGTAGTCCTCTACCCAGTGTAATTCTAAACCATGGTGCTAGCCCACCTTTTCACTATTCTGGGATTTAGCTTCTCTAAATAAAACTACTTCATGTAAATGTCAGAAATTTTAATAACAGATGCAACCAGAGTTCTACCTTGCCCCTCAGAGCACATCAGACAAAATTCAAAGTGACCAGCATGTTTTAAAGTAATAGTTTAGTGTGAAGGATGAACTTTGAACTAAATAACAGAGTCTGGATGGAGATTCTCTCTCTCTCTCTCTCTCTCTCTCTCTCTCTCTCTCTCTCTCTCTCTCTCTCTCTCTCTCTCTCTCTCTCTCTCTCTCTCTCTCTCTCTCCTCCCTCTCCACTTTCAAGTGTGTTCCTATCATTCTCTCTCCCACATTAAAAAAAAAAATCACACCTAGTACAATAAAGTGACCTAATTGGATTACTAACTTAAAGTTTGAAGTTTTGGACCAGAGCCAGGCATGGAGGCACATGCCTGTGACCCTAGTACCTGGAAGGCTATGACAACAGATTGTTACAGGTTCAAGGCCAGGGCTGCCTACATACCAAGAATGTCTCAACCCCCACTCCCTACACACACACCCCAATACACACAGAGTAAATTAGCATTCAGATTACACTTGTTATATAATAAAACTATTAGGGTAGTCGATAGCAGCCCTGGCCTGGTCAACCTGAACCACTATGAAAGCACTTAACAGAGAAAATGGAAGCCTCTAATCACTGCTAACATTTATCTCAGAATCAATTCACGGATCAAGGCCATTGGAAAATCACTGCTATTCTAGACTCTAGAGCAACACTGCCAAATAGAAGCTTGTACAATGATGCACATGTTCTACATCCGTACCATTCAAAAGAGCAGCCCCCTGCTACAGGTGGCAACTGGGTACTTGAAATGTGGCTAGTGCCACTAAGGAATCCTACTTCTCGGTATTATTCCATTTTAATGCTTTCAAATGAAACAGCTGCTATATTAGACTGGGTAGTTTAACTTCATAGATCAGTAAAACTCAAAAATAAAATAACTCAGGCTATTTCAGTTGATCTGCAATACTTACTAAAATAAAATGAACTTTGAGTCAGGCATGGTGTTGACTGCCTATAATCCCATTACTTAGGAGGCTGAGTCGAGAAGACTACAGAGTGTTCAAGACCTGCCTGTCATGACTGCACAGTGAGTTTAAGGCCATCCTGGTGGAATACACAGTGAAACCTACCTCAAAAATTGAAATAAATAAATACATGCATAAAAACTGGGCATAGTAGCTCAGGCCTGGAAGACAGAGGACAGAGGTTTGTGCCTGGGCTATAAAGTAAGGCCCAGTCTCACAAAGAGGTAGGTAGGTTTGTGTGTGTGTGTGTGTGTGTGTGTGTGTGTGTGTGTGTGTGTGTGTGTGTGTGTGTGTGATTTTTCAAGACAGGATTTCTTTGCATAGTCCTAGCTGTCCTGGAACTTTCTTTGTAGACCAGGCTGGCCTTGAACTCACAAAGATCTGTCTGCCTCTGTCTCCCAAGTACTGGAATTAAAAGCATGGGTTTTAGTGGGCCAGAAAGAGCAATGGCTACTCTTGCAGAGGGCCCAGGTCACTCACAGCCATCTAGATTCCAGTTCTAGGGGATCCCAGGCCCTCTTCTGACCTCTGAAGGCAGCAGGCAGATACATGGTACACATACATGTATATGGGCAAAATACTCACACACATAAAATAAATCTAAACATTCAAGATATTTTAATTTCCATGGATATTATCATTTCTACAAAGGAAAAAATACCTCAATATTAGTCTAGCACTTTCTACAAGTGGAATATTCCTACTGTCCTTTTATTTCTACAAGCTAAAATACTGTAGGAATTCAGTAAGTTTGGTTGGGTGAATTGTCTCTTATTCCTGTCACCCAAGACATCGTATATGAACGGAACAATTTGATCACTGAATATCCAGTTGTATCCCAAGAATCATGGGAGACACTGTATAAACCTCAAATTTACTAATCAGACCAAGTTTGCCTCAAATTCACAATCCTGCCTTCTCTGCTTTACAAGTCAAACTTTTTTTTCTGCAACGATATTAAGCCCAGAGTAGACCTGCCGTAGGGCTGAAAACAGTTTGGGTCATAAAAATACATCCTCTTTTGGGGCTGCAGAGATTATCATTGGTTAAGAGCACTGGCTGCTCGTCCAGATAACCCAGGTTTCATACCCAGCACCCACATAGAGGCTCACAACCATCTGTAACTCCAGTTCCAGGGAGTATCTGGTGCCCTCTTCCGGTCTCTTCAGGCACTGCATGACCTAAATGTAGACAAAACATTCACATACACAAAATAATAAAATTGATTTATTTTTTAAAATTAAGTATATCATCTCTTAGCCAAGCACAGTGACACACACCTAATCCCAGTATGTGGGAGGCAAAGGCCAGCCTGATCTATATAGCAAGTTCCCAACTAGGGCTATGTAGTGAGACCCTGACTCAAAAGACCCCATAGCCCCCCAAAGCATATCATCATCACTTATAACTAAAATGAAAGGATTGTTTTTTCGAGACAGGGTTTCTCTGTGGCTTTGGAGGCTGTCCTGGAACTCACTCTTGTAGACCAGGGTGGCCTTGAACTCACAGAGATCCGCCTGCCTCTGCCTCCTGAGTGCTTGGATTAAAGGTGTGTGCCAACAATGCCCGGCTCCTTCCAGAACTTTCTTGGTAAGAGCCTCTTGATAAGAAACACTTTTAGATGACTCTATCTGCTCTTGTGAAAAATGCATCCTAAATGAATCAAACACTGAAGTTTCTGGAATCCTTACATAAATTCATTTACAGCAATTGCTGGCTGGATTTCAGTGTCAGATATTTTACATTATCTTTTTCTCCCTGGTTTGTTCCAAAAAGACATGAAACCACAACCTTTAAAAATATTTGACGAAGCCGGGCGGCGGTGGCACACGCCTTTAATCCCAGCACTGGGGAGGCAGAGGCAGGCGGATCTCTGTGAGTTCGAGGCCGGGCTAGACCGACAGCCTGCAAAACAATACAGAGAAACCCTGTCTCGTAAAAACCAAAAAAAAAAAAAAAAAAATTGACGATTTCTGTATAGCTGTTTGAAAATTCTCACTACTGCTCTCCTAAATTTGCAGATAGCTGCCTGTCATGTAACTAGAGCAAAAACAACGTGAAATAGACAATATGGTTGCTTCATTTGAAGTGACAGAGATCAGCTGCCCTAGGCAGGTCCAAATCCTAACAGAATGCAAACCTCTTCCTCACTCCCAGGTCATTTCTTGTCTAATTATTTTAAGACTCCTTTTGACTGTACTATTTTTAAAATAGACCAGAGAGATACACAAATTAGCTGGAGGTTTTTAGAGCCACTAATGCATTATGTTTAATAAAAGCTAATCCCATGTAAAATTGCAAATATAATTTTATCTTGGTGTCTATTTGGCCAGCTGAAGTTTGAAGCCTTTCATCAGGACAGAGATGAGAGGAGACAGCCCAAGATAAAGTCTATCCAAGCAGAGATCACCTAACAAAGGTGGTTAGCAAGCTCTAAGCTAATTTCAGCCCTGAGCCGCCCTCCCCACGGAGTCCGTCATAAATAATAAAGCATGGGGCCTCTTCCATCGAGCAGGTGGCAGTGGTCACATTGCCTCAACACAACACCCCTCCCCTTTCTGTTTAGTTTTCCTCCATTTCCTCCTCATTTGAACCAAATGATGTACTCTCTATTTCATAGGCAATATGACAATATACGGTATCAGAACACTGTCATATATCAATGAAGACTCGGGAAAATAACAAATATAATTATACTCCATTTCATCAAACTGAAGTCCAAGTAATTGAACTCTTTGAGTGTCCAGGTTCCTTCTACTTTTACGGTTCAGCATAGTGTGAAATGATAAGCCAAATTTGGAGATGTATTAAAAGGACAACTGTCTACTTGGATAAAGTGCTGTCATTTTTCCCATTTTCAGTCTCAATCAGATACTATGAAGCATATGACCACTGTAAAGGAGATAAATATAAAACTATAATCTTGGGACTAAAGATTTAACTCCATGGTAAAGACCTCGCCCTGTACTAAAAAAGAAAAAAAATTCTTGGGCTGGCGATGTAGCTAAGTAGTAAAACACTGCCACACCAAGTAACAAGCTACGGGTCTGATTCCGGGCAACCCTCAGCTAATTACAAAAACAAAACAAGTCTATCTATATTTCTTAGCTGTCCTAAATTCATTGGTTCCTTCAGCTCACACTAACTGATCACCTCCTGGGTGTCAAATGCTATCCTGGGTGCAAGCGCATAGCACTGGAGCAGAGAACAGAGTCCCTGTCCTGCCAGGGCTGCGTCCTGGGAGCAAAGACAAATAAGCAATGTAGATGGCCCACTGGCTATGACATACCCTAGAAGGAACCTATTCCTCTCAATATGAGGGGAGGAGCTTGGTCTTACCCCAACTTGATATGCCATGCTCTGTTGACACCCATGGGA